CAGTTTGCAGAATGCTAATAAGTACAGTATTTGCTTCCATTTCTTGTTAGCTACATGAGCCTCATAGCTCCAGTACAGAACTTAAGACGCACATTTCAAACACCAAACATGCCTTGGTTGTTCAGATACATTTGGGGTAAGGGGGAGATTGTGTAGATAGGATTTTTTGCCAAACTATCACTTTAATGACTGGTTTGGTTCCGCACACAGACAAACACAAGGTCATTTCAGAAACAGAAAAGCAGAGCGAATGAGGCGAAGATGGAACCAGGTAAAGATAAAACATTTAAATGTATGTAAAGCCCAACACAAACACATATTTACATTATGAGCGGGATGATAGAGTCCAAATGAAAATTCCATGTGTCATTAAGTTCATCTCTGGAACCTCTAAATGCTCCTCTACAGAAAATGAGCTCCGCTCGTCTGAAACAGAGCGGAGGTGGCAGAGAGAAAACGACAAATATGTGAATTGTTTGTCTCGTCCTCCTCCGAAGACAATTTTCTAACCAACCAGTAAAGTGGGGGCTTGGTGTCATTGGGTTTAATGACAGCTACTGAATGCTATTGCTTCTCTTAACGTTACTACACTACTCATATTCATGCAACATTAGACAGTGGGACAAACATCAGCAAATAACAACTGTGATCCCACAAAATGCAGCATTCATTCAGTATGCTTTCTCACTACAAGACTGTGTTACTGTCCGCAATAACAAATGCTGTAATTTTATATTAACTATTTCTTGCTCGTACATAATTGAAACAAGTGGAGAAATTCTGAGGAAAGTGCAGATTCTAAATGTTCAACCCATACCACATTTGTAAGTAGAAGAAAAGTTGATAAAAACATACTCTTGTGTGTGGAGTCTTGATGTGCAGAAAGAAAAAGCCTCATTGACATTATGGCCATGTTTTGTCAAGACAAGCAGAAAAAAGCTCAAAGTACAAATTTCAATGTAAATTGAATGTAAATCTATGTTGTTAATTATACCATTACCTTAAAATAGTTGTGTATTGTATATGAAACATACAGCAAAATGACAACAGTATCTCTGGACTTGTAACAGTTAACTGTGTCAAAAAGGCATCATGGATGTTTTAAAGTAGCAATATCATACATCAGATTTCCATTTTTGCTATACACATGAATGGACTAAACATTAAAACAAGACAACTGTACAGAATTTTGAATGTATTTTGAGGTTTTTCTGAACACACATACCTAACCATTTTGGAAAAACAACACTGTGTTTAGTCTCTTTATTTTAAGTGAGCACAATGACAAATTAACTTTACATTTTAAAAAGTACATTAGAGTAGTATAAAAGTTAAGGTATGCTACTTTACTTGTAATTACAAGAATTTTACATAGTCTTCATGTTAAACCCTTAACATACTTAAACTCTGCTAAAAACCACTAATAATCTGGTTCAGAGTTTTAAAAAAGTTACAGATTAACTGATTGATTACAGAAGTAATAACAGTTCAGTGTTTCAGTTAGTAAACTGAAAATGCAACTGCAAATACTCTTTCTGCACCTGCAAAATCTCTGCACAGACAGTACACATTTTGTTCAAAAGTGAGAAGCAAAATATTTAAGAGGCCAAGATCTTTATGAGGTCTGTGTAATTAGCAACAGCAGAATATAAACACTGACCAGCCACTTCTATAAAACCATCCCCTTGTTTCTAAACTCACTGTCCATTTTATCACCTCCACTTATCATATAGGTGCACTTAGTAGTTCTACCATTACAGAGTGAAGTCCCTCCTTTTCTCTGCATACTTTGTTACCCTGTTCAATGGTAAAACCCCCCACATAGGACCACCACAGAGCAGGTATTATTTGGGTGGTGGTTCATTCTCTGCACTGCAGTGACACTGACGTGGTGGTGGAGTGTTAGTGTGTGTTGTGCTGGTACAAGTGGATCAGACAGCAGTGCTGCTGAAGTTTTTAAACACTGTGTCCACTCACTGTCCACTCTATCAGTTACTCCTACTGTGTTTGTCCACGATGTAGATGTAAAGTCAGAGACGACAGCTCATCTCTTGCTGCACAGTTTGTGTTGGTCATCCTTTAAGATTTTTGGTCGGTGGACTAGTCCAGCAGTCCAGCAGTGACACTGAGGTGTTTAAAAACTCCAGCAGCACTGCTGTGTCTGATCCACTTGTACTAGCACACACTAACTCTGAACAATGATCCACCAGCCAACTAATACTTGCTCTGTGGAAGTCCTGACCGTTGAAGAGCAGGTTGAAAGAGGGCTAACAAAGTACACAGAGAAACAGATGGACTGCAGCCTGTAATTGTAGAACTACAAAGTGCACCTATATGGTAAGTGGAGCTAATAAAATGGCCAATAAATGTAGAAACAAGGAGGAGGTTTTAATGAAGTGGCCGATTGGTGCACGTTTATATGTGATGCATCATAATTAGAGAAAATAATCAGTAAAGTGCAGATCAGCTATTTTATGTACAGATGGGTCACAAACCAAAGGAAAAACCCACATACATTTTCTTAGGTAGGTGTTGGTCCAACACAAGCCACATTACTGCTTGAATTTGCCTTGGCAAAGATTCTAGAAGTCTCTAAAACTATACTATCCCCCAAAAGATATTCCCTCAGAAAAGATCTGATAGAGAAAATAATCAGTAAAGTGCAGATCAGTCAAAGGTGTTTAACTGGCTTGAGATCTGGTGACTGAGAAGGCCATTGTCTAAGATTTACATCGTCACACTCCTCAAATTGTCTCATGTTGTCCGTGTATTAAATTACGTTTCATGCGGATCTGAGCCATTTAGCATGATGGATATGCAAAAATTCATGAAATGTAAATATATATAGCAAATATTTTTAACAGACTGTATTTTGATCCAAAATCAAGGTCAGCTAAGCCTACTCAGCATTTTTATCCATGCTATAGAGCATGACAAGATTGCTTGTTAATTGCTTAATTGTATTATGTAGTATATCTGTCTGGAAGTATCTGCACTGTTTCTCCCCTCATTTATACAGGGTTTTCCAGAAATTTGTCACGTGTCTATAGATTGGAGTGATTTGTGTAACATGTCTGTGTGTGTGTGTGTGTGTGTGTGTGTGTGTGTGTGTATGCATTTTTAGCATGTCTTGTTGGAGGATTTGTTGTAGGCACAGACTTTCTCCACCTCTCTCATGAAGCGAAGGCACAGCTCATCCTGCCATGGCAGAGACACACACTGTACAGCTACAGGCAAGCCCACACCGCCTCGAACCGCCTGCAACACACACACACACATACATGTGTCAGAACATACATGAAATCAGTCTGGTTCAAAGTTCCAATTACAGCAGTGGAAAAAATAGGATTTAAAAAGATTTATGTAATCCTATTAAACTTTCTTTTGTTTGAACTTATACAGTCATATGCAGTCAAACTATAAGATTTGTTAGGTGAGAAATTTCTAGGTGAAAATAGGTTAGATTGACAGGTCTTCTAACAAACGTAAATATTTTAACACTGTGCATTTTTTTATTTATATGCTGCGTTTAACACACTGGACAAAATGAACCATAAAATATAAAATGTGCCATAAGTATTGCATAGGCCACATTTTATGTTTCATTTTTCCCAGTGTGTTAAATTCAGCAAATAAACAGTAATTTAATTTTAAAATGTGATTACATTTGCTCTCTACAGAGGATGAAAACACACAATTTGACCATGAAGCCAAGCTTTTGCATGTGACTGTATAAGCCTAACACTTTGTCTTGTTTTATGTGCTGTTTGTGAATGTGAAATTGCTTCCCCCTGGTGGCATGTTTCAACATTCTTACTGGCTGTAAAATGCTGTAATGCCCACATCTGCAGAGTCATCCAAAATTGCTTTGACACTCTTAAATGGAAATCTTCAAAGGCCCCCCCCCTTTTCTCTATCTATACTAAAAAGTAGGACGCCATATGTGTACCATTGTAATTATCCTATAGTTGACTTTACAAGGGTTTTTCCACTCCAAGTCACAGAACCTTTTTTTTGGTACTATAAAGAATCATTTTTACTAATAATGTACACTGTACAATATAAACAGCAACAAACTGTGCAGTGTATACAGCTGTATGCAAAAGTTTGGGTGCTACTTCTGCACATTTTGATGCACAATTACTGTTAATTTGCTGAATTTAACAAATTGAGACAAAACAATAACAGAGAGTGCAGGTGCTAGACTTGCCTGCCTGCAATCCACACCAAACCATGTGACACATTATGAAGCACAAAATACAACAAATGAAGGCCCTGTATGGTTGCACACTTCACTGTAGACTTGTTTAACAGTAGAATGGGAAAAAAAATTCCACTTGCAAAACTGGGTCAGTTAGTGTTTGTGTTGTTAAATAGAAAGGTGATGCAGCACAAAGGTAAACTTTTGCGGAACGTGTAGCTGGCATTAAAGTTGGAAAAGTTCATTAGGTAAAACATTGACTATCGTCTTTTTGTACCGGTTTCATACACTTTTATATAGGTCAAACAGAGATTACTTATTGCTTTCTGTTTTTTATTAGCATTTCACATACTGCCCCAACTTTTTTGGAACTGAGGTTTATAGGTTTCTTTCTTTCTGCCATTTTCTTTACACAGCTGAAGGGAATGTCTAATAATACCTAAACCATTACAGTGCTCTCAGATCATTCATTTCAAACAGACTGCCAACACACAACAGAGACTGCCAATACACAACAGAATGTGACTTGTTTGTTTTTCTTTGGAAAAGAGGACGCTGTGTCCTATTTAACTGTGCTTAGTTTGAACGCTCGGTCAAAGTTTAAATTCACAGTTCATGCTGGTCCCGAACCTGAACTGTTTAATGGATGCCAGTGTGCTCAACTTGATTTGCAGTGTTGCTGTGTAGTGATTTATTGTGTATAGTGACAGCTATTATTTAAAAGAACACCACCAGTTCTCTTCCTACCATTTTGCAGAAAACACAGTAAACTTTGCACTTTGCTTGCTGCCACACTAACCTTGACAAACAGCTTGTCCCAGATATCTCCAAAATTTCCTCTGTAATGACTCAGCTTGGCTTCATCTTCGGCTGTTACTGTGGTTACAGGCACGACCCCCACGGGGAAGTTGAGCACATTGTACAGCATGGTGTAACTCAGGGCACCTAAAACCAGCCAGAGGATCAGCAGTCAGAGAAAAATCAGTCTCATCATGTGCTAAAATGGGAGCAGTTTCTCTTAGTATAATTTATGATCAGGGCTGAGCATATTGGATTATATTTTATCATTATTTTTAAGTACAAACACAAACAGCAAGTTCTTAAACTAATTAAAATTACAATTCTTCATGTATTTTTTTTTTTTCTGTAAAAGTGGATTTTTTTTTATTGTAAACATAGAGCCCATTTCAATACCAGCTTTAACATGCCCTCATCCACTTGGCCTCATCAATTGCCCTTGGGGAAATCCCTGGTGCCATCTTAAGGGCTGTTCCATCACTTTATTTGATTAAGGGAAGGGTGTTAGATGAGCCCTTGGAAGGCTGAGGGATCAAGTGAACACCAGTGTTGACTCCAGCAGCAGAACTTGCCCATTAGTCATTGCATTCTGATGCATTTTCCTTTTCAAACCCAAAAAAGATAGTAGACAAAGCTGTTTATAAGCCTTAGCAGAAAACTACTTTAAAATGCTTGACATTTCAAAACCATAACATTTGATTTGCTGGGCTTTAGGTTGCGAAGTACCTCATCTCTTCTGCTGCCTTCGTTGTGTCGGAAATGGCGTATTTACGAGATGACCGGACATGAATGGCACCTCAATATTATAATTACTAGTGGGAAACTGATTTCTCTATGAGACCCAAACAATTTATCGTTCAACATAAACAGCCATTCAGAATCCAGATATCAGCAGTGTTACGTGACATTAAAGAATCCTAAATGTTGTTATTGTACTAAGGTTCAGTTGTATGATGCTAAACAGGTGGTCATAAGCTTCTTGTTAGATGCAAGACAATAGATGCAAAAACCAGAAGACAAGAAATAACACAAGTTCTAAATAATGAATAATAAATGTCATTAAGCAGCACTAAAGTGAATGAACGTTCATATCTGGAATTAAATGTAACTGAAATGCAGTGATTAACCCAATGGCCCTAAGCAGCTAACTTTTGTTTTCAGACAGGTTTGATAGTAAAAGCCACAAACTTTGCATTCAGATTTTTAGTGCACAGGAAAACACTAAGGCAGTGTTTCTCCTAACAACCCACAGCACTGCACAGTTTCAACCATTCCCTATCTCATCACACCTAATTCAGCTCTATTATCAGTTGATGAGCTGCTGCCTTGAATAAAGAAATACTTGAAACTGTGCAGTGGGTCACCAAAAGTAGGATTTAGAAATACTGCTTTAAGGTGTTTTTTTATGTTTGCTTCAGGAATGCTCAAATATTCATATTTTAAAAGAACTGAAGTCCAAAAGTGCAGAGTAATTTTTTTGTTTTTCAATCATTTTTGAAAAAAAAAAACTATTGATTGGAGGTGCTATGCTGGATACATAGAATAGCTTAATTGTACTGTAGAATTGTATTCAAGAACATCCATAAGGTAATAACACTGAATGAGTTCAAGAATGGACAGTAAACCAGGCAGTTGCTTTCTTTTTCTTTTCCTAACTGTTGTGTAAGAGTTAAGAGAGGAACATGCAGAAGTGTTTGACCCAGGCAAAAAAAACATAGACGTTAAATCAATGACAGGTAGACAGTAAATGAGTAACTAAGGGACTATACAGAAACACTTGATGCACATAAGGCCCATTCCTGACAATGGGAAATGAAGGAAATTACATCAGATGCCAGTGTATCACTAGAGATAACAGATGCCAATGTATTAACAAAGCCAATGTATTAAAAATAAATAAGAAATATTCAACATTTCTAGATCACTATTCAAATTTCAGCAAATTTGTGTCTCTGATCATGTATCTTATACTTTCTATACATGTTCAGACGACCCTCAGATGGATCTGATCTACTGTTTAGAGGCATGTTGTTATATCTGATAACAGCAAGGATTTTTCACCATAATTGTATCATTTCACTGACCACTAAGTTGCTAACCAACAGCCTAAGCCAGAATTACATTTTTTGGCAGCAGAAATATTAAAAAAATATATATATTTAAACATAAATTTGTGCAATGTTCAAGAAAAAAAAACTATGTTCAAGACCTGTTTGCTTTACTTTTTTGTGAGGGTCCAAGAGAGCATAATTGGCCCTGCTTAACTTGATATAACAAGTATATGTACCATGATGTTATTTTTTTTGCCATACTGCCCAACGCTACTACACTGTATGATGATGTGAAGCACTTTCCGTGAACAGAGTTCATTCATATATATATTTACGAGGGGTAAATGTTTTGGTAACAGGGTTGCACATAAAAAGCGTTGATGTGACTTTTTCCATTAAATTAAATAGCTTAATAGAAAAATATTTTAACATTAAATTGCTTGGAACTTAACCAAATAACATTGCAATTATGGTGTTACTTAAACATTTTAATGAATATATTCATAAGTTCAATGTCCGTGAGGTGGGACAGCCCAAAATCACCATATTAAAGGTGGATACAGACATTTTATGTGTTTTCGTGATCATTTAAATGCTAATTTTCATAATTGTAAGTTAAAGTACAGATCCATTCACTTTTTACAGAAAAAGCAACAGTCACTTTATTGCTTTTAAAAAGGAAATGGGATAAAAATGTAGCTCTATTCATGAGAAGTGCCATAAACTACTGTAAACCACCTTCCCATTCTGAAGCAACTGAAATGAGGACGGGTGAGTACAAAACTCCAAATAAGGCAGAGTGTGGTACAGTACTTGTGAGCTTTCCACAGTAATTGAAGTTGTAGGCAGGTCCCAGCATAGGACACAGCAGCACATCCAGCTCCAGCTCCTTCCATTGTGAAATCACATGATGGATATAATTCTACAAACACAACAGAAAACTACTTCAACAACTTCAGCAAAAACTTGGTAAGATACAAACACGTTTACTGGCCAGTTTATTAGAAACCCCTCCCTTGTAGCTCCTTCTTGCTGATGTACAGTTAGGGACTGTAGCCCATCTGCTGACATGATGAGCCATTCTCTAGCTTTTCACTGGTCAGTTTCTGATGCATTTAGACCAGTTCTGACATTCAAAATTTGTAAGAGTTGCAAGGATTACTTTAAAAATGTATTCCGTTATTGATTAGCTGTTAAAAATGTAATTGCAACATAATCCAAGGGATTACTACATTAAAGTAATGTAATCTGATTACCTTTCATTACTTTTGGACGACTTGTTTTTAAATAAATAAGAAAAGAGAAAGAGAAAAATTATTTCAACAAGACTTTAACAAGAATTTAACTTAACACATGCCAAACACAAAAACTGCATTGTTTTAATATACAAAACGATCAGTTAAGTATTGCACCTCACAGAAACAAACACTGATCTCACATTTAGCAAAATGGCCAAATCTAACTTATATATGGAAATATTTCAAAGGTAAAGGTGGCAAATTTGTATAACAGTATAATTTTTTTGAGTTTAGACATTTATGCTCAAACCACCCAAGAATTTTGACAGGAAAATAAAAAAAAATTACATACCAGGGGAACAAGTAATTGATGTAGAATGATCCAGTACATTGGATCAAATATACACTATACGGACAAAAGTATTGGGACACACCTCAGTCACTGAATTTAGGTGTTTCATTTGGTCCCATTGCCACAAGTGTATAAAATCAAGCACCTTGCCATGCAGTCTGCCTTCACAAACATTTCTGAAAGAATGGGTCATTCTAAAGAGCTCACTGAATTTGAGTGTGGTAATGTAATAGGATGCCACCATTGCGACAAGTCAGTTTGCAAAATTTATTTCCTCCTAGATATTTCACAATCAACTGTGAGTGGTATTATTGAAAAGTGGAAGCAACTCAGCGACAAAGTGGCAGACCATGTAAATTTACAGAACGGGGTCACCAAGCGCTGAGGTGCCACATCGTGCGTAAAACTCTCCAACATTTCATGGCACAGGTTTCCATGGCCGAGCAGCTGCATGCAAGCTTTACATCACCAAGCACAATGCCAAGTGTCAGATGGAGTGGATATTTTGCAAGGGAATGCAATTTTTTTGCAAGGGAATGCAAAACATTTGTGAGGGAACGCATTTTTTCCAAGGAAATGCAAAACATTTGCAAGGGACATATTTGTGACATATTTATCATGAAAAAGGCGAATTTCTGCAAATGACAAGTTTGCATTTAAATGTAATCCTCCTGGTATTCACCCCTGATTTTATAATGTACTTGTAATCTGATTACTGTCTTTTTACTGTAACTAACAGAACACAGTTGCTTTTTTGTATCCTGATTATGTAACGCTGTTACATGTTTTCCTTACTACGCATCCCTGTGAACCAATTATCGGTTAACCGCAAGGAAGGAAAAAACAAGGACAAATGGATTTCAGCCAAGATTAATATACATGAATGTAGGGCTCTTTAGGTGACCACACTGGTGTAGCAGCATGCAGAAGAACCCATTTTAAAATATGACTTATTATTTAAAAATAGCTGAGAGAAATCCCTATGTTTTCATGTTGGATGAGTAACAAAGACCAACTAGTTACTTCTTCAGAGGTTCATGTGAGCTAAGCAAGGTAACCAGTACAGCACTGCATACTGATGAGGACTCATTGTCTTCTTACAGGTGGACAATGTGCCAACATGTTAGTTTGTTTGAAATCTATTTTCACTGTTTCTGTACCTAGCTACATTAGCTAGAGTAGTTAGCAAAAAAGCTGCGCCAAACCCAGTTGTGCTCTCTTTGTCTTCTCAGTCACAACCTTAACAAGGCCCATGTTAAGGCACTAAAGTTTTATCGTAACAGAGTGTAATATTGTGCCGAGCACCCATCCCCGTCATCCGGATCCCGCACATCGCTGAGGGATGCGAGTGACAGCAGGAGGAGGACGTCAGCCGCCAGAGAAGGGACGATGGCGATGACAGCAACGAGAGGCATGAAGACGGGATGCGAGTCCCTAACTCCTCTGCCCAGGCCCCGCCCCCTGTTCCTCAGTGAGGCCGCTTCACTACACCTCAAGTTCGAACCAGGTGGCCGAGATGCGGAGAAGGGGAGGCGATGGGGAGGCGGAGCAACAAGCCATTTTCCCTCTAGGCTCAGGAGCAGTGGGAACACAGAGAGGGAGGGAGGGACGAGCAGAAGTAGCAAGAGACGGAAGACTAAAGAGCTGAAGCTCAAGTGAGAAAAAGTTTGTTTTGTGTGTGTTTGGAGCGAAAATTAAAATGGCTGCTGCAAACTTCAACCCTGCCTCCAGCGTCTTTCCTGAGGTCAGGGTAGCACATGACGTGCTACAAATTTACTTACTCTCAAATGTGAGTGAATGTCACACTTTGCAGTCATGTTAAAGCATAAACGGTTTCACTGAATTGCTGGTCTATATATTTTCTCCATCTTTCTGTGAAAAGACAAAGTGAATACTTGAACAGTGATTTCAGTACTTGAATGCTGGCACCTTGAATGGTTAACAGAGTACCAGGAGTGGCATGGGATGGCCAGTGTCACCCTAATATGAATCATGGCTACCCTTCTGGCCACTCCAGTAATATACAATGAGACAGACAGCCATCATCAATAAAGCAGAAACCAGAGAAAACAGTCACCCTACCTACCCCATGTGAACAGTTACATGTTACGAAGAAAATCTGCCATCAGGGTAGTTACCAGTCAGTTATAAGAGTTGATGATGCTGCATTTAATAGGCTAATTTGCAAAGAAAACAGGCAAGTGAATGTGCGTTTGTGCCTTTTGCATGGGCTCTTTGTTTATCATGTTAACTAGTTACTTTTTACAGGTGAAAACATGCATGTGTTGGAGGCTTGATTCTATTTGTAGAATAAATTTGTGCTAAAGCTAGAACAGCCTATTCTCTCTTACCTTACACAGTGCTGTCTGTACAGCTTTATAATCATTAGACTCATGTATAGCAAGGGCCTAAAGCAGGCTTGTCAAACAAGTGCTACGGGGATTAGCGTTTACCTTCACATAACACTCTGAATTCACCTCATGAAGGCCTCGCTAGTTAGCTGATAAGCTAAGGTGTGTTTAATATGTGCTATAGTCTGCAGTGGTCTGGCCCACAGGGACTGCAGCTTGACACATGAGGCCTAAATAAATAACTTCTGTAGTCTGTCTACATGAAACTTTATGTAAAAAGTTAAACATTTGTGTACTGAAACAAAAGTGAAGCATTTAACTTAATACAAATACAGGATTTCCTCAAAAATGAATAAAATGTATTGCATCAAATTTGTCTTTTAGTTTACTTTTGACAATAATTGTGTTGATGAAATATTTTCTTCATGTGGAAATGATGGATAGATACAGTTTAAATATGTGCAGAGAAGAGTGCCACCCCAATAAAATCTCTGGGTGTAACCTGGACACCCCATTTTAAAAGTTATATTTACGCAACCGCTGAGTACTTGAGTACCCAGATACATCCTTAGTTTCTGACCATACCGCCTTATAGATAGCTGGAGCTCATAAAGTGGCTAATAAATGGAAGTATCAAGTAGGGGTTTCTAATAAAGTGGACAAGAAATGTATTTGAACTGATTAAAAATAGACAAGTACTCATATCACATTCATATCAATACCTCAATAGTGTAGTGTTGTTTCCACAGTTCTGCAACAGAGCTATGGACACACACACACACACACACACACAAAGCTGTTTGATCAAGTCAACATAATAAATATAGATGCAATATAAAACATGGCTTTTACTCTATAGTCTAAAACAATAACTTTCTGTGCCCCTTAATTACCCATATAAACTGAGTTTGAAATATTCCAGCACCAACCACACCTGAGTCAGACAGGACCATATCTGGTATATCAGTTTAGCTTTGTACAAAAGCATGAACTGTTCTATGACTTAGTCTTTAAAAAAGCTGAATTCAATTCTGTTAAAAACAGTGGACCAACAGTCATTTTTGTTCACTTGGCATTTTCATTCTTACTTGACTCCATGAATTGCATCCAAAACTGCAGCCATACGTGGGTACTAAGGAGAATCACAAATAGTACAGATACCTTTAATCACCATCTATTTATAGACATGTTTCTTTATTGCCTGAAATTATTTGAATTACATTTATACTACTTCCTCAGTTAGAGTATATAAACATGACTTTTCTGTATGGGAACAATAAAAGTCACTCACGATAGGTTTGAGGATGATGGAGAAAATTTTGTTAACAAAGCGAGGAAAGATATAAGGCATGATCTGAGACTGCACACAAGGATCAACAGGGCCGCCCTTGCTGAAATCACAAAGGGAACAACAAGGATTAGTGCAAGGCCAGAAATAAAACCTAGACTAAAACATTGCACTGTGAAATTACAGACAAATTACCATCTACTAGTTGCATAACTTTTACAGTAGTTTACTGTAATTTATTATCAGTAAATACAATAAAATATTAAGATCACTGTGATGTGCTGTGATCTGTACTTTTACATAATAACCATACATGTAATGCAACTCAGTAGCCACTGATGGACTATAAATTTACAAATGAAAAAAAGTTACAAAGTACAAAAAACATATTTATTCACTATATATTAAGCTGTACATGCAAAAAATATCTCAAGTATGCATTTCTAAAATTCAAATACACCTTTTACAGACATTTTGCATATAGTTTGCACAAACATGACCAAAAACTTATATCTGGTATTACCAAAAAACAATAGTTTGTGTTTTAGTAAAATGTTTATGCCTTTTTAACTCTCAGCTGCTGTCATATTCCATAATGCTGTGCTGTAGAGCTCAACTTCAACCTCTCAGTAATTTGTTGTGTTATTATCTTAAGATAAGTTGATTTCACAATAACATAATGAACACTCTGTTAGTGTGAAAAATCAATGTTAAATATTGTGAAATCCTGACAATAATTATGTTATGTATATGCAAAATCTATGTTAATTATTTAATTATTTTACTTTATACAACATTGTAAGCTGCTGGAGCTACATTTTTTGGCAGAAGAAATATTAAAAACATATATTAAAACATACATTTGAAAGAATATTTAAGGCCTGTTTTTTTTTCCTCTTTACTTTTTTTTTACTTAATAAAATCATAGCGTGGATGATCTACTGCAACCTAATCACAGCTGTGATGTTTTTCATAATAAACACACTCCTTTCATATTTTACTGCTAAAATTTATTTCATTTTTTCACGTTTATTCTTGCATTCTAAAATGTGCTATAATGCAATAGGAGCACTATAGAGTAACCCTAAGATGCTGAATAATCTTTCCATTCTTCCTAAAAGACAAAATTTGTTCTGTTTTGTCATAATCTTCTATCAAAGTGTTGACTTTGACCCTCTAAAATGTCTTCTGATATAGAGTAATATTAACCAATAATATGTTTCACCTCCCACAACCCCCCTCCTATCAATGCAGAAGAAAAATGTATTATGATTTCTAAATCACACAGACTCTAAGTTTGTACAACAGGACAGGTCTTTATCATTTGCCTTCACGTACTTATGTGAGATAGGTTTCTGCCCTAAATGTAAATGTTCCCAGGCTAAGGTGTACAGTTTACCTTTATTTTATGTAGGTGTTTTTTAATTGTCAAAAACGTTCTTCTTTCTCGCACATCAAATTTACAAAAATGGTTCTTTAAAGAACCATCTTTTGAAAGGTTCTGTAGAGCAGATGCCCAGAGGACCAGTTTGAGAACCACTGCCCTGCGGTCCATTCTTTTGTTCCATCCCTATGTGTTGTGAGTTGTGACGGGATAAAACAATACAAGAACCACTGCTTTAAGGAACCAAAGGACGATCAACAGTAGCTGTCAAATACTAATGATACATTAAGGGAGAAAGATTTGACTCACAGTTGGCTTAGAAGGGTGGTGGCTCCATCAGCAACAGCGCCTTTCACAACATATTCATGCATGGCGGTGTAGATTTCTGGGGGCTTAAATGGAACCAGCTGTAGCAGGGACAGAGAGGAAGACTAAAATGTGCACAGCTGCAGTCTGGACACTAACACATGCTGTATAAATGGCAGATCTAAACTTTCTATATGGAGAACCAGATACTGATTATAGCTTTACCTCATATTGCTGGTTAAAAAAAAATGGAGAATGCAAAATGACATGGTCTGAACTTTCAATGTATGATAACAAAGAAGTTTTATTCCAAGTGATTTTGGAGCATTTCTATTGGTCCATTTACCATGAAATTGTGACATAATGTAAAGAAGATCTGCCATATGGAGTTAAAAAAAGACAAAAAAATATTGTAACTTATATAGGTCTCTCTCTCCCTATTATATATACATATATAATAATGTAATAATGTTAGAGACATATATAATAATGTCTCTACATGGAACACACTTAAATTCTAGTGCATCATCATCTATTTTTTTTTTATTTTATGCAGCTGTTTAGCACATTTTCATTAAAAGCACCATGTGGATACCGTGTGGCCTGCTTGTTCCAGAAGTTTCTTGGTCTCTTGCAAAGCTCGGGCCATGCTCGGAGATGGCTGCAGGTACCCATCGTTCTCATAGTAGCCTATCCTCAGGCGATCTGAACTTTCATACACCTGTGCAAAGAGAGAAGGTGTTATTGATATTGTGAGCCATGTAACCAGGAGGCATGGAGGCAGGATACAAGTGCAAGTAAGCCCACACAGTGATGATGATAATCCATGACAAGGAACAAACAAAGAAAACAGATGAGAAATTACACTGAGAGGTGAAACAGAAAAACAAGAAAACTAAACAAGGGTACATACAAGAGCAAGGTAACAAACACTACATTAGTTAAGACGATGTCAAGCAAAGACCAAGATATAGGGTGTTTATACTAGGTCAGACGAACAAGAAGCACCTATGAACAATTACAGAGAAGGGCTACAGACAAGATATAGGTGCCGAGGATGGTACAAGGGCAGAGCAAGAAAACCTTAACAAACAAAATCACATGGCCCGAGATACAAGGGAAAGTGAACAAGAAGAGAAACCAGATAAAGACAAGGGCAAGGACGTTAAAGCCATTATCAAACCTGTAGTACTGAAGAATACTGAGTGCAGTACCTGTTGGTTGAATGGTAACGGTGGAACTGTAGGGTCCAGAGTAAACATGTCCTCACAAAGCAAAGCTCTCATGCACAGAGCCAAACTCTCCACATCTCGGGCCATGGGACCAATGGAAGACATGACTGTAATTAAGTTTTATTTTATAACACAGTTTTATTCCAATTGCACAATTACACTAGGTTTTCCAAATATCTGACAATAATGTTTGCTGCATGCTCTAGAAAGTTGAGGGAACATATTTTAATACTGTACCTGACTTTATGCCTTTGACACAAGAATTTGCTCCACGCAAACTACATGCAAAATAGACAGGATAAAATTAGCGTTCCTGATAAATGTTCATCATCAATATCAATACATTTTATCAACAAAATATTAAATGATAGTTCTACAAATGTGTGTGAATCATGCCACTGTATCTATCGATCAAAATGGTAAAAACTATGGAAAAGGTTTGATGATGGCTGCTACTACTCTTTGTGGGCATGTAATGTACCCCAATTCCAAAAACGTTGGGACACTGTGTAAAATGTAAATAAATGTAAATAAAAACAGAATGCAATGACTTGCAAATCTCATAGACCCATATTTTATTCACAATAGAACATAGAACACATATCTGATTTTGAAAGTGAGACATGTTACCATTTCACGAAAAACATTAACTTTTGAATTTGATGGCAGCAATCTCATAAAGGTTGGGACAGGGGCAACAATAGGCTGGAAAAGTAAGTGGTACTAATAAAAAAAAAAAAAACAGCTACAGGAGCAATTTGTACCTAATTCACATGACTGGGTATAAAAAGAGCATTTTAGAGAGGCAGAGTCTTTTAGAAGCAAAGATGAGGTTCACCAATCTGTGAAAAACTACGTCTAAAAATTGTACAATAATTTCAAAAATATGTTCCTCAATGTAAAATTTCGAAGACTTTGGATATCCCACCATCTACAGTACATAATGTCATCAGAAGATTCAGAGAATCTGGAAAAATTGCTGTAGGCAAGGGGCAAGGTCGACGGTTAATATTGGATGCTCGTGATCGTCGGGCCCTCAGGCGGCACTGCATTAAAAACAGCATTAAATTCTGTACTGGAAATCACTGCATGGGCTCACTGCATGGGCTCTCAGGGAAGGCCTTGCATATTTCAGCAAGATAATGCTAAACCACATACTGCATCCATCACCACAGCGTGGCTTCACAGAAGAAGCCTGCCTGCAGTCCAGACCTTTCACCAACAGAAAACATTTGGCGCATTATAAAACAAAAAATCTGGCAAAGAAGACCCAGGACTGTTGAGCAGCTAGAATCCTACATCAGACAAAAATGGGACAACATTCCTCTCCCAAAACTCCAGCATTGGTCTCCTCACTTCCCAGACATTTACAGACTGTTGTTAAAAAAAAGGAGGGGATGCTACACAATGGTAGACATGGCCCTGTTCCAAATTTTTTGAGATGCGTTGCTGCCATCAAGTTTTAAATGAGTTAATGTTTTTCATGAAATGGCAAAATGTCTCACTTTCAACATCTGATGTGTTCTATGATCTACTGTGAATAAAATATGGGTCTACAAGATGATTTGCAAATCATTGCATTCTGTTTTTATTTACATACTTTTTTGGAATTGGGGTTGTAATTCAGATACATTTTATAGAGAACAGTATGTTATACAAGCCACATAAGCTATCAGAAGCACAAAAGTCTAAGATTACTTAAAAGTCTAAGATAACTCAATGCTGTTTGAGGTAAGCATGTGATGATTACAGGTATACAGTTTGTACAATGCTAATTTGTGGGGTATAATGCTATGCTTACATGTTGGCATTGAAAAACTGTTGTTCCGCACCTCATAGCAAAATAGGCAAAACAGTAGCATGCAGTCACGTAAACATTGCTATGGTAATAGTGCTATTTCTGCCTATATGCAGGTCGAAGATGTTAGCCAATATTTTATCCTAAACGCGTTTCCCAATAGTGTTATTCTAAAATAAATAAATCGTGTGTTGAAATTTGGGTGTTTGACTAATGTTAACAGGTATACCTGGGCTTCAAATACAAGCATTCAGCACCTACATTTCTGAAAAAACATCTGAAAAACATCTGATTTATTCCACCACTGATAGCAAATGAAAACTTAATTCCTGATGGAATGTACTGTGCACCGCTGCAGTTAGCGGAACATTGCTGCTGGTGGTGGGAGAATTTTCCATCAAAGCTCTATTAAAAACAACAGAATATCCGGTTTGCCATCATTTATGTGTCACTAACATGTAAGCGCAGCATAAGCTTCCATTACTTATTCACTACATTAGCCTTATGGCTCTAGTGTAAAAAACAAAATGTCTTGGCTGACTGACTACTACCTTTTCCAGTCTTAAGGTACATAAGCATGCATAAAAACCTTATCCTGTTGGATGTGGGCTTGAAGCCACAGATGCCACAGAAGGATGCTGGGATGCGAATGCTTCCACCAATGTCAGTCCCCACACCCAGGATAGAGCCACCCCCTCCAATCAAAGCGCCCTCCCCTCCCGACGAGCCGCCACACGTCTTCTGCAGGTTGCAGGGGTTCACGGTCATCCCGTAGATTGGGTTACTACATTCATAACTACAGTGCATAGAAACAATAAGGCTAGTTAACCCTCTGTGGTTTCAGCAGCCCACACAAATGTGTTCAATAAATTAAAAAAAAGCATAATTTCATAATTTCTAAGTGGGAGCTGATTATTTTAGTTACAAATAATAATAATTTACTCATATTACTTTTTTTCACAAAAACAAAACTACCACTTACGAGACTGTGCTCTGTTTTAAAGTTCCGGAAGTGTAGATAATATTAACTCACTTTAATAACATTTTAACATTTGGCAGGTTAACATTCGCAAAATTTTGATTTAGATCCAGTCAAATGGAACTTTTTTTTTATGGAGCAGCAAACACTGATTAAATGAGCTTAGTGTCAGATCACTTTACTGCTGTAGAATCAGGCGGTATACAACATCAGGATAAACACATGGGGCCGGATTCACAAAATTCACAAAAATTTTCTTTCTTAAGAAAGAAGATTTTCTTAAATGTGTGTTTTTTCTCAACATCATTCTTAAAAAAAAAGTTCAGAAAAATTGCTATTCTTCAAATAACTTCTTAGAAATTCTCTTAAGAATTCTAATTTCTTGAGAGTAATTCTAAGAACAAGTGGTGTTCTTGAAAACATTCTGTCCTTAAATGTTTTCTTAATATTACGATAGCCTCACACTTGTCTTAGGCTCTAAGAAATAATGAGGTAAACATCTAAATTTAACAAACATGGACACTGCCTCTGCTGCTCCTGCCCATCCTTGTCTCTTGCTTTCTGCCATCACCCCACTATTATCGTGTTTTTTTTCTTGTTGGCTATTTCTTCCACTATCACCTCCAGTTCTTGTTTGCTATGTTTTTCAATGCTTGGTTTGATGTATTTCCTCCATTTTGCTGTCATCTGATGGATTAAATAATAGAAATAACAATTCATACAAATGAAAAATTTATCTCACAGTGTTTATGGTAAGCTACAAAATGCATTATAGCCTACATAAGAAAAGGCTTGAGGAACTAATTAAGATGACCTGATAAGAATATCTGAAAACTTCCTAAGTTTTTTCAAGAATTCAATTTAAGAACTTTCTTACAAACTTCTTAGTATGTGCCTTAAGAACCTTTAAAAGTTGTTCTTTTTGTGAATCCAGCCACAGTTTCAAATATTTTTGGTAAAAAGCCCAAGATATTAGTTATGCCAAAAAAAACTACTGAAATTTAAATAGATTGTATGTGATTTGAACATACTCCTGGATTTACTACCCAACCCTGGGTGTGTATTAGGTTGCTTTGTAAATGCTGAAGTTTCTTACTTGAGAAGGCCCTGTGGAACATTGGTTTTGATAAAGGGAATTGCTCCCTGCCTCTTCAGTACAGTGACCACCACACTGTCCATTACTGCAGGGTCATCCAGCCTACACAACATGCCACAAGTAGAGTCATGGCCCTGAATTCACACAGACACATACAGAGACACACAAAAATCATTTGCACAACTTTTACATACATAGCCCTTCCATTTATGAGAGAATTCAACCAATTTTTCTAACTTTCTGCATTGGTTAACATAAGCAAAGTCATTCAGAGTGTTTTGATGTGAAATGCTCAGTTCTAGAGAAACTTAACAACTCAAAATTGTTCACAGTAGTGATGATAGGAACTAGACATCTGAAAATGAAATGCCTCTCAAAGGTACCTCATAGAACGTAATTAAATCCAATGGTTATGAATACGCTGCCTGATGCCTGAGACATTTTACTAATTTAGACATTTAGAGTTTTACAAAAGGTTTTGGGCTAAAACATACTTTTTAAAAATCTGTTCATCGTAGAGAGGTACAAGCTGGGTTTTGAAAGACAAAATAGTCCCCAAAGAAAACGTATTTTTTCAGGTTTACCACTAGTACACATTAAAAGTCAGAAGACACACACATAAAGTAACTCTTTCAACCTACTCCTTTTTTGAAGACCCAAACAAACATTTCCCTCACATGTGTAGGTTTTAAAGTAACAGTACAACAGCAAGGGGATATACTCAGTTGCAAAGACAGAAATCAATTACATCAAAAACAATCAATTTCAAATTACAATATATTGATCAAAGATAGCCTATGCATATGTGTTGTTGACATTGTGACCCCTGGTTCTTATCAACACCACTGTAAAGAAATATGAGTCAGTAAGTTTCTCTACAATGAACCATTTCACATCAATTCCCCTTGATTAGGAATTCTTCTTTAAGGGAACCAAAAGTAACTGTACAATTAGCTGCTCAGTCATTTCTTGGTCAGCACTGTGTCATCATGCACAAAAGATCTAACAAAAGATCCAGAATTAAGTTTAGGCATTTGCATACTGTCTCTGTCCAAAAAAAAGATCTCCATTTTTTTCAAATTTTATTTTTTTTTACTTCATTTGATCACTGCAGATGTCCTTTTCATTGTGTACAAATTTCATGATAAATGGACAACTAGAAATGCTCAAAAATAACTAGAAATGAAATCTTTTGATTTTAACTTGCATTAAAGAATGTTTTAGCCTTCTGATGCTTACATTTGTTTCTAAACAGTTATAATATATATAAATATATATATATATATATATATATATATATATATATATATAGTTGTTCTGTCTTAGCATGAGGAGCAAACAAATTTCTCTGAAATTGTAACTTCATAGAAGAAAAGCTCATAAAATGTTCACACACTGGGGAAATGTCTGACACTAAATGTTGTTGTTGTGTTGGTGGAAAAATGTGGACCATTTGGGGAGCACTTTGACGACCATGATGGTGCTTTCAAATTCTGTAAAAATACTAAAATAAAAAGGTAATTGAAGAATCACATGCGGGAAAAAATTGTGTTATAAGTAAAACAACAAAATGTCAATGCCAGGACAGTAGGCCATCATAAGGTGTGCCAAAGGAAGGGTGTATTTTCAATATGCAAGAATGCACTGGTGAGTTTAGCAACCATCAACAGCTCAACAGCTTAACTGCTCAACAGACCACGAACATTATCCAGAAGGTAGGCATCAATGTGTCAAGGACAATCACGAAGGGAATAACTTGACCTCAGCTCAAAATGACATTTACTGATAATGGATGAACAGAAAGTCCAGATTAAAATTGTATATAAGGTTGCAAAAAATCACATGTTTGTGGGACAAAGGTCAGCTTCTACCAGACTGATGTACAGAGGAATGTTATATATATAAAAAAAACGGCACGGCTCATGACCCAAAGCTAGCCACCTCATATGTTAAACGTGGTGGCATTGGCATGTATGGATGCTGTTATAGCACTACATGTCTACTGGTGCATTGTGATGCATTGACCTGAGGGTGGGGACTGAACTGCATCGCTTTTGGCCAAAATAAAATTTTGCTTTGTGTATTGTTTTTATGACCTGTATTTCAATATTGTGTAAATAGTTCCTCCAGACACATTTGGGCTTTTACTGTATAATTTTGAGCTTTTTTATCACTCTGATCCAAATGTCTCAAATCTCTGATTTTACTGGAACAATTTAGGATCATCTTTAAAAATACACTTAATACACAAAAGTGACTGACACAGTCATATGCAAAATTTTAGCTGCCCATGGTCAAATTAACATGGTTTGCTTTGTTGTACACATCCTCGACAGAGAACCCACTTACTCTTTACGTATTTAACATATTGGGGAAAAATGCCTGTGCAAAAGTTATGTCACATTTCATATTTTATTTTTTTCCAGTATGTTAAACTATATACAGTACATTAAAATATACAGAAAAAATTCCAATTTTTTAAAAGGATGTTTTTCCTTTTTTACTTTAAAAATCAACAAAACTTCTGCATGACTGTATGTCCAAAAGTTTGCAGACATCTGATCATCCAGTGTATCTTCTGAAATCAACTGTATTACTAGGAAGTCGGTTCTCTTTTGCTGCACTAACAACCTCTACTCCTGTGGGAAGGCTTTACACTAGACGCTGGAACATTGCTGTGAGGATTTGATTGCTTTCAGCCACAAAAACATTAGTGAGGTAAGGTACTGATGATAGATGATCAGTTCTGTATCACAAACACCATTCATCCGATTCCAAAGCTATCGGATGGTCCTCCACTCCAGAGAACACAGTTCTGCTCTATAGTGCTGGGGGCATTATATCCCTCTAGTATATGCTTGGCATTGTGGTATGGTGACATTAGGCTCATGTGATGAGATTATTAAACTGTGTGTGTAAGTGAACACCTATGTCAGTAATGAATACACCTTAAAGTTACTAAACTCACTGATTGGAAGGGCTGCCTGGACGCCTTTGGACATACAGTGTAGTTACACAGTAGTGTAATACAGACAATAAAAACAATGCTCAAAGCTTTCTGTTAGACATAATCATATCTAACATTACAAAATTGATGCAGCAATTGCTACCTTCATAGCATTTTTACATCCTTAACAAAAGAAAACTATTTTTCCCCTCTCTGTACCTTGTACCCAATGTTTTCCTTAATGCTTATGGGAACTCCGCAGAGAAGGCCATCTCTGTGGGACTCGATTTCTGACAACTGCTTCACGCTTTCCATCAGAACGTCAGTGCTGCAGTTCAGTTTCCTGTTCACCTCCAGAACCTGTAGACCGAAACACAGGGACATCCTCACTACTGATCAATCAAATAGAGCCACTATAAACTAACACATTCAGCTATATGCAGGGCAGGTCATGTTAAATGATCAACAAGCACCACTATGACTGAAGTTAAAAAGACATCAACAAAATGTCATATGGTAAAAATTGCTAAATTTATATACATGCACAAGTTTCAAGATCGTGTTTTGTTGATTTTCTAGATAAACATAAGTTAACACATCCTCTACAGGATACAAACTTAAATATGCATTTTTTCAATCATGTACTGGCTGGTGCTTTTGAGTTATGCTCAAAATTAGCTAAAATAACCATCTAAACAGTCACTACTGAAACATTTGGATGATTTTGGTAGTGACAAAATTGAATGTTTAATCATTTGTTTTAATAAAACAAACATAATTAGGACATAGAGTCAGTCACAGCAAAAGGATTTAAATTAAAGTCCAGGTCAGTTTTGAGTCCGAAATGTGTTTCCAACTCTGAACCAATCTGGAAGAATGATGTGTATACTAAGTGATAGAAAATAACATCCAGCTTTCTGAAAAAGTTGATCAAATTAGATTTAAATAGCTATTTATCTGGACAGTAAGCATTTATTTGCTCAGAAAAAAGCAGTATTATTCATAATATTAATACTACACTAATAAATACAAATTATATTTTTACAGTAAGTATTGATTTTTGTATGTCAGTGTGCTCGTTTAACCATTTCCAAACCTCTCCTCATGGCAGCCTAGTATTACTTGTAGTTATCATCCAACATCTGTTTTGGCTTTTTACTGTATTTATGTTTATTTGCATTTGTTCTAATAAAATAGTGATTTTACAAGCAAAAACACACATACTGCCAAGACAAATGGTTTTGAATAATGCACCGTTTCATGTAAAGTTATAAAAGTGGGGCATAGGTGTCTTTACCTTGCACTTTCTCAGTTAATGGTTTGCAGAGTAAACATGACACGTGTGAGTCAGGGTCTGACATAATGTATTGAAATGTAAAGCCATAATCTGCAAGAACATGTGAGTACATGGTACAGTAGTGACCTGAATCCAAACTGGTGCCAACAAAGCATGTTTCTCCATAGACTTCCATTTTACCTTGCTTTCTGACAATTATTTTTCCTCAAATAACATTTCAGTCTGTATTTCTTGGTTTTAGTTCAGTTGTATGAAAAATTTGCCCTGCTGGAGTTTTTAAGACCTCAGGGTCACTGCTGGACTGAGAATAGTCCACTAACCAAAAATATCTATCCAACAGTGTCCTGTGGGCAGCATCTTTGACCACTGATGAAGAACTAGAGGATTTTATGATATGCATCAGGATTTTTATTTTTTGAGGTCTGACAAATTGGAATAGAAAAGCATGGTACACATGATTTATATTTATATTTATATTTTCATCTTTGTAGTGCTCTTTAGTCACACCATCGAACATCACCACATCATGGAACACCTGACTTTTATTTTATCTGTTAAAGCATTTACTTTTTAGTTTAATATACTTGAGTATGTTGATATTTTTTACCTTTGCTCTGTACTTCTACTTTTAAGATTTCACTTAAGTATAGTTTCTCTGTATTTCATCCACCCCTGCCAGCAACATACAGGTGTATGCAAAAGTATGGGCGACTATGGCCATATTATATATTTTGTTGATTTTCCAAGTGAAAATAAGTTAACACAACCTCTACAGAGAACACATTTTGCTGTACATTTTAAAGCACAATTACAGTTTATTTGCTGAATTTTACACAATGGAAACAATAGTTATGGCACACTTTATGTTTTGTTTTTTCCAATATGTTAGACTCAGCAAATAAACAGAAACTGTACACTTTTTTGCTGAAAATGCCATATTTAAGTTTGTTCCCTGTAGAGAATGTGTTTACTTATTTTCACTAAGGAAAATCAGCAAACTATGAAATTCAAACTTTGGCATTCAAGTGTATAACCAGGCCTTATCTATGCTTAAAAAGAATGGTTGTACATAAGCCTGGAAAAACATTGTGTAAGGCTCAAACAGGTCAAGATAAACTATTTTTAGAGACTTTTAGTCAAGCAGTAGTGACAACCTAATCATTTACTAAACTACATAAACAAGCCTACAAAAAAACAGTCTTGGCATCCATATCACGTCTCACAAAGCATCAGATTGCTTGAAAGGCTTTACAAAATCTGCACTGTTAACCTTCCCAGCACTTCTCTCCCATCACCTGCCTCTACATGTCGACAAAATGATCTTGCACTATAAATCTGGGGCACTGTAATGATGTTTTAAAAAGCTTAATACTCCAGTCTAAAAGTGAAAGAACAGACTGTCATTTGAAAACAGATCTGATCAGAACATACAAGTTAGTCTGCGTTGTTCAACTTCTTGTTGTGGTTCAGATGTCCTATGGTTAAAAAACCTGTGAAAAAATGTGACCCTGAAAAATTCAGTGCACCCAGTTCAGAATTCAGGTTAATAAACAGTCTCATGAAAGATCAGTTATATAACCAGTTTCATGTAAAGTTATAAACGTGGGGCATAGGTGTCTTTACCTTGCTCATTCTCAGTTAATGGTTTGCAGAGTAAACATGACAGACATGAGTCAGCGTCTGACATAATGTACTGAAATGTAAAGCTATGGTCAGCAAGAACATGGTACAGTAGTGACATAAATCCCATCTGGTGAGAAAAAGCATGTTTCTCCATAGACTTCCATTCAAATGACATTTTACCTTGCTTTCTGACAATTATTTTTCCCCAAATAACATTTCAGTCTGTATTTCTCAGTTTTAGTTCAGTTGTGTGCAAAACAGCCCTGACCCAAACTGATGTTTTGTTAATTTTCTAAGTAGAAACAAGTACATATCTTCTACAGAGAATACATTGTATTGTACAATTACTGTTTATTTGACATATTAAAAAACATAAAATCTGGCCTGTGCAAAAGTTATGAAACACTGGACATTTTATGTTTTATTTTTTAATATGTTAAAAATGGAAATTGTGCACTATAGTTTAAAGAAAATGCAATATTTACATTTGTTCCCTGTAGAGCAGTGGTTCCCAAACTATGGTACGCATGCTGGCAGGGGTATGTCAAATGACACTGGGGGTACGCCAGAAAATTCCAACATTAATCGTCATTTAATTTCATTTAAATCAGATACTTCCCAAATATGGGCGATGCAAACAGCTTCCAGCACAGGGCAAACTTGACCTCTAAAAAAATCAGGGTTGTATTAGAGAAAAAAAGTGTTTTACTTCGGCCCCTCCTGAACATTGCAGGTTCAGGAGAAACTAACAACAGTAGAGTTAATTCAGTTTATCACGTGCTGCAGTATGGGTGAATGAAGTCAGTATCCTTTACTAACTGTATGATCCTTGTAAGTCATGTACTTGAGTTAGTTACACTTTCTAAGACCCAGTTTAAATCACGGTTTTCGTAAGTTTTTAGTTTGTAGCTGCTGCAATCAGCACTTATCCATTAGCATTTATGCTAAATTATTAAAATGTGTTAAATTCTGAGCAGAGGATGCTACTGTGAACGATCTGCTCAGGTTAGTGAACATTTTGTTACACACTGTTCATTTTACAGCTGCAGACTCTCTCCCACACACACAATACTCACATGCACAGCAAAGGTCTTTAGGATCAATTATGTTTTCTAACATATGCATCTGAGGACATAACCCTGAGGGTACCATCCCAGTGGCAAGTTAGTACCTATTTTCTGAGAGTGTATATCTGGTGTATTATATTATCATAATATCATCATTGTATGCGACTGCATGTACATCTTTCAATGTCACTTCTGTTCGTGATATAATTCTCCAATTTGTTTCAGGATTGATGAACGAAGTAACGAACAAACTAACTAACTAACAAAGTAACGAACTAACTAACTAACTAACTGAATAAATAACTAACTCCCTCACTCCCTGTCTGTATGTCACATGATTTATACTTATAATTTCCATTCCCTCTGAAAGTCAAGACTTCCAAGTAATGCTCTGTTTAAAGGGTTTCCCTGTGGAAAAATTATAAATATTTTATATGGGTAAACCATATGGGTTGACAACAATTACATCTTAAAATGCCTGAGAAATACAACCCCCATTTTCAAAAAAGTTCAGATGCTGTGCGAATGTAAATAAAAATAGAATGCAATGATATGCAAATCATGTGAGCCATATTTTTAAAGCAAAATACTACAAAGACAACATATCAAATGTTGAAACTGAGAAATCCTTTTATTTTTTGAAAAATATATGCCCATTTTGAATTTGATGCCGACAACACATTCCAAAAAAGTTGGGACAGGAGCATGTTTACCACTGTGTTTCATCACCTGTTCTTTTAGCAACTCTCTGTAAGTGTTTGGGAACTGGAGACCAATTGATTTAGTTTTGAAAGTGAAATGTTTTCCCATTCTTGTTTCATATAGGATTTCAGTTTCTCAACAGTTCAAGATCTCTTTTGTCGTATTTTTCATTTCATAATGCGGCAAATGTTTTCAGTGGTGACAGGTCTGGACTGCAGGCAGGTCAGTTTAGCACCTGGACTCTTTAAATATGGAGCAATGCTGTTGTAATACATGCAGAATGTGGTTTGGCATCGTCTTGCTGAAATAAGCAAATCCTTCCCTGAAAAAGACGTCATCTGGATGGCAGCATATGTTGCCCAAACCTGTATATATCATTCAGCATTAATGGTGCCTTTCCAGATGTGCACACCACCCATAACCATCATGAATACTGTCTTTTGAACTGTGCACTGATAACAAGCTGAGTGGTCTTTAGCCCAGAGGACACAGTGTCAACGATTTCCAAAAAGAATTTCAAATTTTGATTTGTCGGACCACAGGACAATTTTCCACTTCGCCTCAGTCCGTTTTAAATGAGCTTGAGCCCAGAGAAGGCGGCAGCATTCCTTGATCCTGCTTATATATGGTTTCCTCTTTGCGTTTCAGAGTTTTAACGTGCATTCATAGATGCAGTGATGAACTGTGTTCACAGACAGTGGTTTATGGAAGTGTTTCTGAGCTCATGCAGTGATTTCCACTACAGAATCATGTCTGTTTCAAATGCAGTGCTGCCTGAGGGCCCAAAGATCATGGCCAGCAAATACTGTTTTTTGGCCTTGTCCCTTGCATACAGAGATTTCTCCAGATTCTCCGAATGTTATTGTGTGCTGTAGATGATGAAAAGCAAAAGTTCTTTGCTATTTTATGTCGAGAAACGTTATTCTTAAATTGTTGCACTATTTGATGGTGCAGTCTTTCACAGTTTGGTGAACCCATCCTCATCTTTACTTCTGAAAGACTCTCTGGGATGCTCTTTTATGCCCATATCATGTTACTGACCTGTTGCCACCAACTTACACAAGTTTACCAGCCTTTTGTTGCTCCCATCTCAACTTTTTTGGAACGTGTTGTTGGCATCAAATTCTAACTGGGCATATGTTTTTCAAAGAACAACAACATTTTTTCAGTTATGTTGTCTTTGTACTATTTTCAGTTAAATATAGGGTTTAAATGATTTGCACATCATTGCATTTTGTTTTTATTTACGTTTTGCACAGCGTCCCAACTTTTTTGAAAATGAGACTGTACTTGTGGGCAGACCAGAACAAAATGTTCAAAATGTGATGTTGGATAAGTGTATACATATTGTAGGCTATTAAAGATTAACTGATGATTTTAAAAGAGCCCTTTGATGATTGTAGTAAGATGCGAAACGCTGCAGAACATTGCTCTAAAGGATCATGAGATGTAAGTGGACTGAACCTTGTCCATGTAGGCATGGAGCACAGCATCAGGTTGCAGGGATCCAGCTTTTATCTGCTTAGTGAGCTCAGCCAAGGGAAGATCCACAATGGGACTCAGATCAAGCCCAGGATTCTGCAAAAACAGGAGAGAAAGGAATATGAACACAATATTGGGTCCCATTGACAGTAAACTGACTACATGATGGTTACATGTAGTACAGGTTGTATATTCATTCATCAATTCATTCATGTGTTTTGCACAATTCAAGACGTTAGTATACTTTTCCCACATGCTGTTGTTCTTTCATTACCTCAGCTCAGACAACATATACATGTGTATAATATGAACATTTTTAAAATCTCTTTAGTGACACTGTTAAACGTTCACCTGCATTTGTAGGCATCAATACCATATTTACTATAACTAATGTCAATGTTGTTTCGCTGTTACCCAAAAAGCATTGAGTACACCCTCCCCATGTCCCTGTCCCCCTCTCCCTCCCCATGTCCCTGTCCCCCTCTCCCTCCCCATGTCCCTGTCCCCCTCTTTGCTCAGAAAGATCTCTTGGGCCACTTCAACACCATCAGCAGCAGTCTTGTCCTTCACTTCCTCTGGCAGCATAGAGCAGCATATAGTTCAGTGTGTGCGACTGACAGCAGCAGCAGAGTTACAAAACACTGATAGCACTCTGTGATGTGCTCAGGTGCCACAGTAGAGAAGGTAGAGACAGTTATTCTGGGAACCAGCTGGAATCCAGTATGCCTGTAATGTCCTTTATTCCTGTGTTGATTAGAAACAGAAGTAATCGAGTGCATTCAGCTTCGGTAAACCAGTCTAATCTGGTAGCTGTATCACAGCAACCTCAGACTGCCCCAGGGGCTCCCATTATCTCTTCAAAGCCAGCTCCACTTGATTTTCAGATCTCAAGCCAACAAATCATTTTGGTGAATGACATTACAATATCTTACAGTCTAGATTTTCTGCTTCTCACTGAGATGCGGTTAGCAGAGGGCAGCAGTGCCACTATTCTCAATAACACAGATCCTGCAAACTAAATTACTGTGAACTGTCAGCTGGAGCAGCTGTTCTATTTGTAGATGCATTCCAGTACAAAGACAGTGCACTTGGTAACTTTATTTCTGTGATACACCGCTGTTTCACATTGAAAAGGTGCTCCCAGAATTTGAATCATTTACAGACCCCCAAGATACTCTGCAATATTCACGGAACCAATGTCAGTTATCTTCACTGATTACTATTATTTTTATCATAATCAGTGACATCCACATAGATGGTGACACGGACAATAATGCCAGAGAAGTTTTTGCCTTACTTGACACTTTTGGTCTTTAGCAGCAAGTCAAAGAGCCTATGCACACTCTAAGCCACACCCTGGACCTGGTTATATTCAAGGATCTCTATATTGTGCCATTATGATTAAGGACTTGGCCCTTTCTGATCATCTCTGTGTCTTCTTTGATTATTGATCTCTGACCTCTCTCCTAGTACATAGTTTATGGAGGCCATAGCTGTGTCACCAAACAAAAGTGTAGAGTCAGCTGATGTACATTTAGATCATTTTAACTTGACAATATCTAACGTCATGGTTGTTGCTGCACTGGTAAGAGTCAAGAAAACTCTGAGCAAACAGAAAGCTTCATAAATCACATAAATACAATCTGCAAAACTGCTTACTATCACCTTCATAATATCTAAAAGGTTCAGGACATCTTGACTACACTACTGTAATGCTCTCCTATGTGGCCTGGCACAGGTCTACCTTAATGAAATTACTGTCAGATATGTTCCTACTTGGATTTAGGTCATCTGATAGCCTGAAGTCCCTAAAACAAGGCTGAGGAGTAGAGAGGCTGCATTTAGTCATTACGGCCCAAAGCTCTGGAATTCTCTTCACTGAATTACTTAATGCCTTTAAAATGAATCTTAAAATATATTGTGCAGATTAGCTTTGCTCTGATTTTAGTTTATGTTGCTTTTATTTATATCATGTATTTTATGAAATCTTTTCTTTAATTTCTTATTTACTCTGAAAGTCACTTTTTTCTTTGTAACGCACGTTGAACTGCTCTCCTGTATGAAAGGTACTATATAAATAAAGATGATTATTATTATTGTTATTATTATTATAATTATATTACTATTATTATACTCAAATCATCTTTTCTTCCTTTAGCTAAAATAATTAAGAAAGTTATTTACACTCAATTCATAAATTTTTTTAACTTAAAATCTTATTTTGACTAATTTCAAACATGCTTCCAACCTCACAACAGTACTCAAACTGCCCTTATAAAAGTGCTGAATGATATATGGCTGAATACTGACTCAGGTAAAATATCATATCTGGTACATCTTAGAGCTGATTTAGACACTATAGATCATAAAATACTTCTAGAAAGGTTGAAAAACTGGGTCAGACTTGTCGAGACAGTCCTTAATTTGTTCAGGTTGTATTTATAAGGCCGGAGTTACTTTGTCACTGTTAGCAGTTATAAATCTGAAAGGGTGGCATTGACATACGGAGTCCTCCAGGGATCAGTTCTCAGACTCTCTTTTGTTCAATCTGTCTATGCTGCCTTTTGATCAAATGCTACAGAACAACATTAATTACCACAGTTTTGCAGATGATACACAGATATGGCTCTCTCACGCTTTCATGCTGCAAAGAACCCTTTAAGCATGCAAAGGGTTCCTTGAGTGTTCAGGGTTCTACATAGAACCATTTTCTTTACTAAAGAACCCTTGAAGCACCATCTTTTTTTCAAATGTTTTATGAAAACTCACTCTGATGTCTGAGACATTATGTTATAATAGTTTTGTGATTAAGTTTAGGCCTAGATTCTTTTATTTTAATCCATTCAGAGGGGTATATGCATGGCATTGTGATTTAAACAGTCCCCAAAAAACTCTTTTTTTTCCAGGTTTACCGGTATTTTACCATCATCAACATTACATATGAAGACTCACAAGACATTTTTAGGTTCACTGGTGGGTTTGTACAGTGTTGGGCAAAATACTTTGAAAAAGTTGTGGTGGCTGAATACTGAACACACTGTCCTAAAATGTATTCATTAATGTATCCTATTACAATACATAAAAAGAAACATATTCATAATGTATTAGAATGCATTTGCAATACATCTTGGTAAGGCAGGGGGGAAACCTTTTTTTTTTTATTATTCATACTGTTCCTAGCTGTTACTGGTTGGCAGTTGTCTTCATGTAACTATTCTGTTCATATGTATTATGAAAATTCCTTATCATTTAAAAAAAGAAAAAAATTTCTCACTGCCTGCTTCAGTCCTGTGCTGCTCCCACAAACCCCCAAGCAGAAATACAACACCTATGCTAAACTTATCACTTGCAAACAAGTCCACTACTAATTAAGAAGATTATTAATTTAATCATTCCTTTAAAACTGCTCAGTAACACTGAGATTAATAACTGATTCATGACAATGATTTATCGGTCTACTCAGGCTTTAGCATGAATTTCAGTGTTTGTAAAGAAGCCACTAAGAATTCGTCTAACAAGCATGTTTGCTATGTTGTGCACTGATTCTAAAATAGTTTCTAAACAAGCATTGATGTTTTTTCTTTTAAATATTGCATGTTTTTCATTATTTAGTGGGCAAGTAATCTCAAAGTATTCTCCTAAAAATGTAACTGTTTTCTAAATACTGCCTTTACAAAATGTAACTAGGACTGAATACAGATACTACTGAATACAACCCTGGTTTTGGAAAATAAATAAAATGGCTATATTTGTGTTTCTATCACCACCACTGCGAAGAAATCTCAGTAGGTAAGTTTCTATATAAATGAACCACTTCACATCAAAACACTCCGAATAACTTCGTTTAAATCTCAACCACTGAATTTTCTACCCTTTACAGAAGGTTCAGATGTGACAGGTCATCATGCCACGTGCATGCAGAGCGTGCTCCGCCTTCTCCGTTGTGCAACAGGTGTGTAAGAGGGGATTTGTGCCTTTTTTACCTTTTCCTTGAACTCTTGCACGGTCTGCTGTGCCTGGCTGAGTCCTGCATCTCTCCTCGCCCGGGCTCGCTGGATCTTCTTCTGGACCTTCTGGTGTCCGAGCCACTTCAGGAGCAGCACAGTGGCACCGGTACAACATGTCAGAGTAGCCACCACTGATGTCCATTCACGATCCATTTCTGGCATGAACTGTCCTCTTCACTTTCAAAACACAAATGTCTGTAGCGGTTTGTATCAGACTTACTGTCAGTGCAAGCAAAAGAAGAAGGTGTGGTGTGAGGACTACGCGCTACGCCCCGCCCATTCAATGTCCCAGGAGCAGAGACTCCTCCACAGCAGTATCTAACAGCAAAGAGCTGAAAGAGTTTACAATATATGAGAACCAAAGACCTACTCCGACCAAGAGCAGTGTGTCTACGGGATAGTACTCTGGGGACACAACATAAGCCCAAAGTCCTGCACGATAAAGCTGAGGGAAGTTCCCACTCGGCAGTCCTCTCTTTGGGCTTACGTAGGCCGGCTTACCAAGACATTGTACTCTGTGAGATATCCAGCCTATGGTTGTCCTTCTGAACTAAGCACAACATGTAGGTCAACACTAGCTGTAACCAGAGCCGTACAGAGAGAGAGAGTTGCGTCAACTCCATTCACTCCAATGGACCTACAGCAATGGCGGATCATGGAGCCCCTCAGTAGTTCCCGGAAGTTAGCAGCAAATACTAGCAGCGCGGCCGAGTTGCAGCAGAATAGACCAATAGATGCAAATTAACATGTATATTAAAGTATGTCAGTGGATTATCCCCGATTAAATTAGTAGATTAAGGAACATTAACAGATAACAGATTAGGCTAGGGTACTGAGTAAAGTTAGGAACCCATAATGTTAACCATAAACAGCATAATTGTAAAATCCCTGCTCTTAATGTCGTTTCATCCACCGTTGTTGAATCTTAGAAAAGTCTTCTAAACATGATTTTTCACGGGGTGGGTGGGAGTTAAATATTAGTTAAATATAACATTGGGGTAGAGCTTGTAGAGTGGAGGAGGAGGAGATAAAATGAGAATATCGTTATCCATTTTTGGAGTACGAGCTAACGTAAGTTACACAATAAAAAAAAAAAACTATTTTCATGATACGTCACTACTTACACGGATTTAGAGTGCATATTGAAGACTTTAAAGAGTAAACAACTTATGGATTGAGTGTTTGCAGGCTTTGTGATTCTGATGACTTTTATCTGCACATTATGTTGCAGTTGATTTTGGATTAATGGCAAGAACCACGGGGGGATTCAACCTAGAGACTCCTCACAATAAGACAGCACCCCCACCCCGCACCGTGAGTCTCAGCTCCCTGGGGTTTGCAATTCTTTACCGCTTCCTTATTTTTAATAAATAAAACATTAAGCTTCCCAGTGGTGTGGCTTTTGTTTGTGAAACGTAACAAACGTTGTTGTTGTTGTAATCTTTTGTGATGGTAAGTAATTTAATAATTGCCCCTGCTGACTTGAGCCAGCAGTTTTTTCTTCTCTCTCTGTCAGTGGAGAAACCAAACATTTTCACTCCTTTCTCCGAGCGTTTGAAGCATCTCCATGCAGCAGAGCAAACCATGGTGGGGACTATATTTAAGGACAACATGGAGAAAAGGGCACAGACAAACTGCCTGCCAGGCTATTCATGTTTGAGTTCGTTATAGCTTTATTTAATGAATCCATCGCAGTAAATACGTGCATAATAAAAAAGACAAGATACATAAAATATGTTTATATGTGTACAAACAAATATAAATAGATGTGTTTATTGTGTCCTGTCCTGTCTGGATGGGATGTGTTTTAATGTATGCTTTTTAATATACTTTTTTTTCATCAAGTCATTAAAATTATCTAGGACTTGGGATTACTGAAACAACCATTAATTAAAGATGTATTTATGTTAATTATATTAATTTATGTTGAAAATTAATCTGATCTCAATTTTGAAACATTCCTTCCCTTCCCCTCCAAGTATATCAATAAACATTAGGATATGACTGATATTAACTACCATACAAGTTTAAGAACATAATATCTATAATACTGAAAAATCAAAGCAATGAAACAACGAAAACACACTTTGAAACCATGTTCACATTAACCTAACATGCCAAAAAGGCAGGTCACGACAGCTGTTTAATCCTCAAATAGTAGCGAATTTGACTTTAAAATATATCCTATTGTTGTAACTACACACACACGATGGTTTTCTATATATAAATATTGTAAATCAGTGCATTTATTGACTTTAAAGTACCAAAAGACGTAGTTCTGTCGCTGAGTGTTTATGGGTTTAAATTAAACCCATCAGAAAGAACTTCCTGGAACTATCTGAAGTCTGCGTGAATCACGTGAACATTTTGAACTTCCGTTGAAGCTACTCTCTCTCTATATACAGCTCTGGCTGTAACAAAAGAGAGGCTTATCTGTTCGCAACCGCGCTGACAGTTCTATTCGGAAGCGGTAGGCTTCGTCATTTCTCCTCATCTCTCTGAGGAGAAATTAGTGCGCTTTGGACGTTAACGTTATTCTAATTTAGACCCAGCGTTATTCTGTGAGATGTAAGAATCACCAAATGCGTTGCTGTTCTAGCAAATATGTAGTAGTACAGCTTTTCGTTCGTATTTGCGAACTACATATCCCAAAGGCATTGGGTGGGGTTGTATGGCCGCCGTCCCGTATATATACGGCTCTGAGATAGACCAGCTGCAAAATCACAGAGCTTGTTGAGAGGAGAGTTACCACTCCGTAATGTTTTTCTGGGTTCCTCAAACGCTAGAGGGCGGGTCCAAAATGAATGGGTTAAGATCGAGCATTTGAGCAAAACAGTCTGTAAATGCTCAAACATTTAATGTAAAAGAATACACCTACATTTCCAGAACACATAACAGCATAAAACATCTTAACACCTTAGCTATATTTTAAAAGCTTTTGAACTCGAGTTGTAAAAGTTTAAAACTGCGTCTCATGACGTCAGTGAGCGCGAACCGCCAATGAGCTGGAGAGCGAGCTTATGGGACGTGCAGTTTATACCTTGTAGCTACTAGCGATCATGATTAAATCTCCCCCAAAATTGCATAATTTAAGAACACCAATTTACTACATTAAATTATTCCAATTATTTTAATATTGGCATTATTTCACTGTTTAACTTACTGGGCTATCGAAAAGGATTCTGTTGTAGAATTTGTTCTGAAGTCTTAGATCTGTTGACGTTCATTCATTTTGGTTTATCTCTCGCTTGCCGCCCTCTAGCGCCTCTCATCAGCACTGCAGGGTCTGGACTTTTGGTGTCTTGCTTCACGTTTCCGCTCAGTGTCACATTGTCCTCTACTGCTGTCGGCGAGCTGTAGGACAAACCCGCTGAAATCATGGTGTTCGAGGAGAAAATGATCCTAAACGGAGACCCAGAGGAGGTAAGGGCTCATGTTGTGGTTTCTAATAGCTGACTGACTATTATTTTGTTGAGAAGGAGTTACTGCAGCTCCTCCTGAGGTTATGAGGCCTTGAGCAGAATGAACGCCTGGGCTGGAGCTGATCTTTACATTACAATCCATTAAAAACGGCTGAAAATCGAGCGCTGCTATTACATTGATCTTTATAAAACCTTGACTCTATTGCTATGTCATTTACCCAAGAAGCTTGTCCAGCCAGTTAGCTAGTTAATGTCCAGGGGGGTCACTGGGTGCCTGCATGTCTCGTCAATCAACTTGAAGGTAACGTTACCATACTATAAAGAAACTCCATTCAGACTCCATCAAATGCAGTTTTAGATACAACATTACGCAATGTGGAGGTTTATAAACATATATGTATATGGGGTTTAGAGTTATATATGTGGGGCATATCATCACAGCAGTATAATACCTCCATCTCTCTTGTCACAGCTGTGTGTAATGTGCTTTTCAAACAGATTTTTCTTTATGAAGCTGTAATGTATTACTGCGTCTCAGTAGTAGTTTCTTTTTAAATCATATGCAGAGCAAATACACAAAAAGACAAACATGTAAAATTGGTATGAATGATTATGTTTACTCATGATAGATGGAAGGTCATTAGATATCTGAAGATGGAGTGATATTCCTGATATTCTTTGAATGTATTTCTGATTCTGATTTATTGTTTAAATTAGGAGGAAGAAGAGGAGGAGGAAGAAGAGGAATTGGTGGTATGTTGGTTATACAAATAATTTTGCACAGGGGTGTCCATTTCTTGTTCTGGTAGGCCACAACTCCACCATAGTCTTATTATTATGGCAGTTTGGTGATTTCTCTGCTCAAACATACCTGCTTAACATGTTAAATAACTGTTGAGTTGAATCAGATGTGCTTGTGCAGTGAAATCACCAAACTGTGCTGGACTAGAAAACTCCAGGACCAGAGCTGAACACCCCATTATAAGATGTAATTAGTTAAGATTACATTATGGCTGCTCAGTATTGTCACAGTGTGAGTATATTGCTGGATATTGATATTCTGATACACCTTCCAAGATGTGACTTTGAAAAACATGGCTGTGTTATTTTGACCAAAGTAAAATACTGTCTTGCAAATGTCAATATCATGATGACAAACATATACTGTATTGTGCAACTTTAGACCTCTTAAAAATATGGCATTTAGAATTTATTGTTTGCGTGTTTGTAGGATCCCTTAGAGACAATCAGGCAGAAATGTGAGGAGACCGAGCACTGTGTCCACACACGGGAGAAACTGGAGGCCTGTGAAACCAGAGTGGGCTCACGGTCAGAGACTACAGAGGACTGCACTGAGGAGCTGTTCGATTTCCTGCATGCGCGTGACCACTGTGTGAGTAGACCACCATCCTCACCTCCTGGTCAAATAACATGTTTTCTAAGTGAAATAAATTTATACTTAAATATGACATTTTTCTGAACATTTTAGTGCACAATTTCTGTTTATTTGCTGAGCTTAAGTTATTTCAAAATGTGCCATTGTTTTTGCACAGGTCACATTTTATTTTTATTTTTTTTCTGCAATATGTTAAATCAAGCGAGTAAATAGTAATTTTGCATTAAAATGTGCGTGCACTCATTTTACGTTCTGACTCTATGTAGCTTTGGTAAATAAGGGTCATTTTGATGAATTAGAGAAGTGAAGTTGATTCATTTAGATTGGCATTTCTGGGCTGATAATGATCCCAGTTAACTAAAACCTTGTGGCCGATACTAAAAATGCCTGATCAGTGCATGTGTGAACAAAATCAGGGTGCTAATAATTGGTTGTAATCAAAACAATTCTAGTATTGGGTAACATTTTCACATTTATTGGCAAATAATGTCATTCTGTTATGAAAAGTAGAATAATTGTCAGATTTATATGGGTTGTCTGCTTTTTACAGTTGCAGCCAATCTACACTCAGCACAGCAGTAATTGTCTTATGATCTTATCCCAAATTTATCCATATTATGATTAGCTATGCAGTTTAGTTGCATCAGTAGCCTTTTTACTTCTATAGATTAGGGGTCGTACTAGTAATGTAACGTTCTAGCAGCAGATGCTGCAGTTTGAGATGCCACTGCAGAAGAGTTTTCTGTTGTATTTCAGTGAGTTTCAGCCTCAAACACTCTGCTCACAGACTGTCTGATGTAAACGCTAAAACTATCACACTTCTCACTGAGAATTTAAACTGGTTCTAGTCCATGCACTGTCTGATGGGAAACAAGCCGTTGTTAATCAAGCTAAGTGTCAGTAGCAAGAAGTTGCATCTCTATTCACCAGTAAGCCTTTTTCCATGTTGGCTCTTCCGTAGTCTTAGTTTCTCAGTATTCCTTCATTGGAACCTTGGTCAGTGATCAAAACTAGGCATTCAGATTAAAGTGGGCAGGGAGGTGACGGGGCTAATGCTGTGTGCAAACCCAGGTTCAAATGACTGGACTGGACAGAGAAATGCCAAAAGAGGAAGGACAGCAAAACGTTTGTCACGTCACTCTTAAAGCATTTTTTTCTCCTTGAGTTGAATACTTTAAATAATCTTCTAATGTTCTTACACAAATCTCAAAATGAGAAAGATTAGATATATCGGGTTTATGTAAGATGATTTCTCTTGCCAAGATAACATTTTTTGCAGTGTAAACAGAGACTAGAGTCTTCACTAATATAAAAATGGGCATCCAGGAGGCCCCCATTTCTTTCTTTTGCCTAGAGCCCCAGGGTCACTAAATCCACCCCAGGTCAAAGAAAAGTTAGTCCCTACGGCAGTCCCATATTGCTCCCTGCACTTCCCATACTGTATCACAGTTTGTCAGAATGACCGTGTTGGTCATAGGAACATAATAGGCTACTCTTGTTTTTAAATAAACAACAAGTTGACTTTTTTCCATAGCCAACATCATCACCTACTATTCAACTTTGTAATTGTTGCAGCAAATCGAAGCAGTTTGCTCGACAATATGAACACTAAGTGTTAATCTGTCCTCTCTGCTTTTTCTAGGTGGCCCACAAGGTCTTTCATTCAGTTAAATGAAGCCCATCAGACCCTCATCATCGCTTCTAGGTGGATGTCCTACAAGAATCAGAACAAAGCTCCAACGTTATCTATAGGCAGTGATGTGATTGCTGACATGTTCTTCAGTTCAGCCACCCTACTGTATCCAGCAGCTTATCTAATGTGTTTATGTTCATGAATTGTGAATAAAATGTTATAATGTGTACATCTTCAAAATAAAAATTAGTATATAATGATTGTTGTCCACAGTGGTGAATCGGTGTTGACTTTGCAGCAAAACATAAGCATATCTTGGATTGCTGTTCTGAAGGGGGGAAAAATGGACATGAAATGTGCTCTGTACATAAGTTCAGGCATATTTTAGGGATTTTCTGCTGGTAGTGTGTGAGCATGTAAAGCCATGTACATAATAAGTCACAAGTCTATTTTTTAGGTGTTCAGTTTCATAGAAATTTCATTGCCAAAGTCAACTTTGTCATTTTTCTTCGCCCCACATGTGACGAGTGTGTGATAAAACAGTTTCTCCAGAACACAGTGCTACATTGACAAATGGAGTACAAAATACTAGAGACTACACAGAAAACAGTGGACAGTACAGTGAAGAGAAGATAGAATGACTGTTTTTTTGAAAGTTACAATGCATTTCCTAAAGCTGTGTATCTGTGTAATTTCCAGCTGATTCCCAAGTAAACGATGCTTATTTGGTGTAAAGATCCATTTCTAATACAAGTCTGTAAGTGTCATTTTACTTAGTTTTATTTAGTGGTCAAGCTGTTGGACATGGATCCATTGTCGTTCTCTTATAACTTTAAATGTGTAACCAGTCAGAATTTAAGATGCCCTGTACTGCAGAACTTCAATGCACAGTGACACTTATTTTATATTTTTATAAAACATTTTAAATTCTTTAGTTCAAAGACAATGGCAGTTGACAGAGTTGAATATCAGTGATGATGTTACCAAAAGCTGAATTTTTGTAAATGAATCAGTAAGTAAATTTTACAACCCTATCTAAGTTACATTTTATATTCGGTATAACTAAGCATTTTAAGTTAGAAATAAAGACTTTTATTTGCACTGTTTAGAGTTGGAGAACGAGGGCTTTTATTTTGAAATGGTCAATTCCTGCGATCGTTGTGGAAAAGTCGCATAGTTGCCTCTGCTGCCGAGGTTTGATACAAGTTAACAGTAAAGAGGTTCTTCCTGTTGGTGTGAGATGATCACGCGTTTTTAGAGATTGTTTTCACGGAATGTGTCGCTGCTGACCGCTGAAGCAGATGTGGGCACAGCTGGCTCTGAGCAGCAGCATGGCAACAACAACTCTGGTCTCCATGTGCATCAGGACAGTAGCTCAGAACATGGATGTGCTGGAGGAGCGAGTCTGTGGTGAGACCATACAAAAAAGCTTAAGTCTGCACTGGCAGTCAGTGGCTTTCTGTTAGGGGTGAACCGATACGCACAGTTCAGCTTCGACACGGTTTTAGATTCTGAGGGATAGATTCGATAACTTCTGGATTAAAAGTCCTACACAGCAAGGCCTTTAAGTCAATGGTGTGGAGGCTCGTTTCACCACTGGAAAAATATATATAGCCATTTAGTAAGTCATAATAATGAGAAGGTTTTTCATAATCTCATAATTATAACATAGCATCTCATCATTATGACTTGATATCTCATAATAATGAGATCCAATTTTATATTTATGACTTTGCATCTTACTTGTGACTTTCTCATAATTGTGGCTTAGCATCTCATGACTATAACTACCTTTCTCATAATAAATAATGAGAATTTTCTCATTATTATGAGATAGTAAGTAATTATTATGAGATATTAAGTCATAATTATGAAAAACTCTTATCAGTATGAGATAGTAAGTCATAATTATGGAAAACATTATCATTATTAGGACTTAGTAAATGGCTGTATATTTTTCTCAGAAAAAGACAGAAACAGGCATTCATATGATGGGCTTCACTGCTGCCTTAGAAAACTTACAAATGTGTAAATGTAACGTGGGCCACCCTCGCTACGTACTCTGTTGTCTTGACTGTAATTTTGTACATTATTGTATAAAAGACAATAAACATACATTCCTACAGTTGGGATCCTTCACAAATAAAAAGCTACGAAAGAAAACGTCACCAAAATTACACAGAAAATGGTAGAATAGTAATGATAATAAAAACAATAATAAAAATAACAGTAACACTATTTATTATGTTACATAAAAAATTATTTGATTTGTTTAGCATTTAAAAGCGTATTTCTCAAACACAAGGAAATAGAACTTGAAATCGAAACAGACCAACACCAAAACGAGACCATTTCTAAATTCCTTAGGCAAAAGTTTGCATGTCCCTGGTCAAGTTACATGTTTTGTTGATTTTTTTCTAAGTGTAAATAATTATATATCCTCTACAGGCAGCACACGTCTGTGCATTTTAACGCACAATTAATGCTTATTCACTGAATTTTACATATTTGGGGAGATAATAAAAAGGTAAATTGTGGCCTGTGCAGAAGTATTTTGAATTATAATGTCTGGGCAGTAAGTGTATTTGCCTATGTCTGTGTGTGTGTGTGTGTGTGTGTGTGTGTGTGTGCATACTATATAACATTAGAGTAAGTACAAACAATAAAACATGAATTTTGTTAAATACTATTTTCATTTATGTTGTGAGCCTTAACCTATACAGTACTACATAAACAAAGAAAAATAACATTTCTATGCATGTTAATTGTATATAATTAACACAACTAAAATGGCAAGTTAACTGGGGGGATCAACCGATATAAAGTATATTGTATACATTTTGTAGATACTCTCTTTTCTCTTTTCTATTTGGAATTATATAATTATATATAATTATTTAATGGTTTTGTATCTTCTTTCTGCTCGAAAACCTTACTTTTAATATTAATCTTCCTGTAGATTTGCCAGCTTCACTTCTCAAAGACCTGTTGCCTCATCTGAACATGTTCTACCTGGACAGAATTGAAAAAGTTGCTCTTCTGAAAAGTAAGCATCTGTACATTAACTGAAATGTTCACTCCTGTCAGTCTTCGTCTTTCTATAAAAGTATCCACAGATATTTAAAGATAGCTGAGCCACCAAACTGTCTGTGATTTTAGGAGTCTCCACGTCACTCCAGGTCGCTTGGGCAGCAAAATGGAGGGATTTGAATCGTACGTGGCGTTGCAAATTAAAGGTTGTGTGTTTTTCTTTTTCTTGTTGTTTTATGTGAAACAGTACAGGGGTGTTGATGTACACTGCTGCTCAAAAGTTTGGAATCAGTGTTTCAAATAATATAAAACAATTCCAGTTACCAATGAATGATTACAGTTATTGTACTGTTCTGTTTTTGTACAGCTTCGCAGGTTTAAAATAATTAGCAGGAAGTTGTAAAAATGAAGAACTGGTAGATGAGTCCAGAATGATGATTTTAGTGTGGGATTAAACTTAATCTGGATCTGAGAAATCAGCGCTTGGTGTACGTTTTAAAATTTACTGTATATGCTGTATTTTTATTGCATATAAAATAACAAGAACTATGACTGGTGTTTCCAAACTTTTAAACAGCAGTGTAGATAGTAATGGACTAATGAACTAATGAAATAATACAGCTTTGAATGTTGTCATTTCAGTTCATGCAGCCTGAAGAGAACTGGAAGCAGAAGTGTTTGGAGAGTTTGTTTCACATGGTCCTGTTCAGAAAGACACAAGTGCACAACATCCTTTCCAACCTGAGTGAATATGCGGTTCTGACCATGTCGGCCGAACATGTGCGGGTGCTTTCTCTTACCGTTGCGGGACAAGGTGGCTGCCGGCTGGCATCGGAGGAGCTTCGTCCAATTCTGTCCATTCTGGAGAAGAGAGTGAGGTGCCTCAGATTGTTTGATGCCATGGCTCTTCTCAAACAAGGACGCAAGGACATTTTATTTGTTCTTCACCGTCTTCTCGACCACGGCTCTGTGACTGAGGTGGTTCTGAAGAGAACTCCTGATTGCTTTTTATTTAGCTGGATCACTTCCAGATGTAGGAGACCGCCCCGGATTGATTCTCAGGCTTCAGCAGCTCCAGATACTTGGGGTGGGAAAATAATAATAATAATAATAATAATAACAGTATGGTGTTATTTGTAAGGAGATAAGCAAAACACTGAAAAGATAGCACATTATACCTTATGTGAGAGTCAAATTAATTAGTTAGCAACATAATTGCAAAATCTACAGTAAAAAGTAACAGACTAGTTACATGGATTTTTCATTTCGATTATTTTTTACTATTTGATTAGACAGTTTATTTTTGCAAATACTTCAATGTTCAAAACCTGTGTTAAAGGGCTCGTTAAGTTCCACAGATTTTTCTAAATTTCTGCATAACTCAGTTGTTGTAATGTAAACAAAGTCATTCAGAATGCTTTGATGTGAAAAGGTTCAGTTTTGAAAAATGTACTGATTCCTTTACAGTGTGGTGGGAACCAGCGACCCCAAACACTTTTACTAACTGAAACTCAGTACTGTCCTGGTGATTAACCAAAAACCAAAAGGCTGTTAGAAGTACTCAACTTTAGTGGAACAAACATTAGTGTCTGTTTCATTTATGTAGGTTAGTATTTAGTATTGTTAGCATTTAGTTTAGTAAAATCTTCTAGGTGTGTGGTTTGCACAACTGGTACTCATTCAGGCTTGTTGGATTTTCTGTTTTGGGGGCCTGAGCAAGGTAGGTTTTGAACACAGCCGGTCTCTTTCCACCACTTCAGTGCATTTTTCCTACTTGATTTTGGAATTTTCTGTATATTTGTGAACTTTCTCACGTACATTTTATTACCAAGACTTTTTTTTTGTTCATATTAATTCAACTGAATATTCAAGTTTTCTTAGTTTTCTAACTTTCTCTGTCTTTTAGAAAATTACATTTTGAGTTAGGTGTGCTGGATGGTACGTTAGAGATCTCTGGTTTGAATGTGTATGCATTTAGATTAGTGTTCCAACCTTTGTTTTGAAGGAAAGTGAGGGGTTAGGTGAATTTGGACCCTGGTGGAATTTCCCTTTAAATGTGACACCACTGTTTTGCAGGAGCATTTTATACAATCCAGCTTGTAGTGAAAGGAAGTATTCAGATACAGAACATCTTTAAGTATTGTAATGCTATGTTTTTGCCATATCACCGACTCTTACCAGACACCTGTCGTAATGAAGATCTGTGGACAGAGGAGGGCCCTTCTGCACCCAAATGTCCTCGTTTAGATCTGTGCATGGACGAGAAGTCATGCTGCAAGTTTTCTCCATCCTGTAGTGTTAGTGGACAATGCCACGTGGGAAAGATTCATTCACTGGACCTGGAGGTGCGTTCCCTGGCTACAGTGTCTCGCCTCCTGCCTTCATGGTTGTGCCTTCATTCCCTTCATCTTTATGGAACTCGTAAGTCCAAAAGCAAACATCTGATATCTTTTTAATGTAGGTCATCAGATACATTTTGGGTCAACCCTTGTGAAATCCCCAGTGGTCTTCTGACTGACCACTTTAGGTTTCTTAATGGGTCCATATCATGGTAAACAGAGTTTGTTCTATTACATAAATACTAGAGATACAGGATCACAAGAACAGAATCAGCAGATTTTTGTTTAAAAACCTCCAGTCTCATTACATATTTTGTTGATTTTCTAAGTGAAAACAAGTTAACACATCCTCTACAGAGAACACATTTATGTTCAGCAGTTTATTTTTTTGCAAATTTTAGTGCACAATTTCTATTTGTATATCTGTTTTAGAGTTTATCACAGTGGAATAAAATAAAACACAACATATAAAACTTTTGCACAGGTCACTTTGTTTCCCCAATATGTTAACTTCAGCAAATAAACACTAATTGGCCATTAATATGTGCAGTGTTCTCTGTAGAGGATGTGTTAACTTAATTTCACTTAGAAAATCAAGAAAACGTCATTTGATGCAGAGCCCCTTTGGAAGGATGATGTGGCTGATTTCGTCGTGTCCCTGAAAAAGCTTTTCCTGAACCCCTGCTGTTCCCTGAGGGAGCTGAGCATGGGCAATGTCTGCAGTCGGAATCTCTTAGCCGGATTGCTGGCTGCCTGCCCAATGCTGCCCAGCCTTTCACTGGACATCAACCTGCCACAAGACAACAGAACTACACCAGGGCAAAATCTACAGTTCAAACAGGATACAGGTGAATGCATTTTAAGGTGTTTTACTCTTTAATTAAAGGAAATAGGTAATACAAGTAATACAGGTAGTAAACTTTGGGCACTAAACGTGTCTTGGCTGATCGGACATGTTTAGAGTAAGGCGTAAAATTGTGTAACTGATTTTTCAACAAATCAAAGGATTCAGAATCGCGATCACGTTTGTTATGATGTAGGCATTATACATTCTATTAATACAAAACATTACATGACATGTTTTGTTGATTTTCTAAGAAGTTAATACATCCTCTACAGAGAGATATACTTCTGCACATTCTAATGCACAATTACTTTTTATGTGTTATACGTTTATGTGCTGAATTTTACATATATGGGGAAAAAACAAAACATAAAAGTGGCCTGTGCAGATGTTATGGCACATTTTACATTTCATGTTTTATTATTACCAATATGTTAAACTAAATAGAAATAAAAGGAAATAAGATGAATAAATAGAAACTTTGCACTTTTACAGAAAATATCATAATTAAGGATGTGTTAACTTGTTTTTACATAGAAAATCAACACAATGTAATTTGTTCAAACTTTTGCATACGACTCTACATAAAGTTTTTATGTATATACAGGTTTTCTCGAGATGCGTAACCACAATGTTTTTTTGTGTTATTTTATGAATGCAGAACTCTCTCTTGAAAAGCTTTCATTGAAATCAACTGAAATCCAGACTGTAGAGAACTTTCCGTCTGTGCTTCAGCGTGCTCCAAAACTCAGCAACCTTCACGTCACAGGAATACGTCATGCTCACCTGCTGCTTCACACTTTGCCAGGTACCGCAAAAAGAAAATCCTTTGCAATTACCTGCAGTTCCACTGTATGTCTTTAGATATGTAAAATATTTGCTTTAGGTCAGTTTTAGTGGTCAGTTTGGTAATTGTAATAAAAAAAAAATAGTTTTAGACTGGTCCTTACCATATTATAAATTTCAATATTTTATATATTCAGAATATTTGGGGGGATGACATAAAGTGGTATCCACTTTTGGCTAAAGTTATCAAGCTAACTGAAAAATATTACTTTGTAAAATAATCCTTGATTCTGGGTACTGCCTTCTAGCAGGTGCTTAGTTATAAACTTAATCTGATCAAAATAATTAGGCCCATGTACTGGATTTGTCTTGTATTTAATTTTGTTCCCTGAGATCCAGTTATAACATTTGCATGGGTTTATGTACCAAAAACTGTACGAAATCATTTTTACCAGGGATGCATCCGAATCTGAGGATTTTTGCGTTCAGCAGATTTATTATTTTGATTTTGGTCAGTCTGTGTTGAAAATGTATGATGCAAATAATATGAGACAGATGTGTGCATTTAAATGCTGCTGCTGCTATACCTAAAAGAAAATGTCATCTCATTCATACAAACCCCATTTACAAAAGTACAAAGAAATTTTAAGATTTACGTAATGTTTTGGCTGACCAAATGATCGTTTTCTATAAATATGAAGAAATTTTGAATTTGATGGTTGCAGCACACTCAAAGGGGCAAGGGGCAAATATAAGGGGCAAAATAAGAGTGAAAAGTTTAAATACAAGTTATAGTTATACTATTTTGAAACATTCCACAATAAGCAGGTAAATTCGTATCAGGTGAGGGTGATCCACCAAAGGCTCAGGCATCGCATGCAAAGATGGGTCGTGGCTCATCACTTTGTACCAAACTTCATGAAAGAGTTGTCAAACAGTTCAAAAAGAAAGTTTCTCACTGTAAGACTGCAAAGAATTTAGGTATTTCACCATCCGTGAGCTAAACTGTCCCCAGAAACATGATTGGATACGCCTGATCTTCAGAGTGATTCACAGGATACCCATTAATGACATTTTTGCCTTCCAGAGTCCAATCCTCTCTTGAAGGTACTAATATTGGAAGACATAAACTTGGCAGACTGTCATCAAGAAATTATAAACCTTATGGAGAACTCCATCCTAGAGGGTAAGACGACACAGCACCCTTCAAAGGAACAGTTTTGCCCTTTTGTAATATTGTAAAAAACAATTGTAATATAAACATGGATGCATGTACATCCATACATATACATACATACATATAGCTAAAGCAATAGTATCTTGAAGCCTATAAATAAAATTATGTCATACCCGGCTAGAAACCATATAAGCAAGTCTGTTTTACTTAACAACCCAACAGAGTATGAGGTGTGTGATGTATTTAGGCATGCAATCCATTACTACATTAGCTACAATAACCTTCAGTAATAAAGTGCAGAACTGAAGAAGCAAACTTCAGAAATATGTTTTGGCTGTTTAATGACATTTGGGGTAAGAGGGAAATGTGAAAATGTGATTTTTCACCTGACTCTTTCTTTACAACCTCCTTTTTATATTTCATTTAATCTTCCCTACTGTATATTGATAATTTCAGAGTTATCCTTGAAAGACTGCAGACTGCTCGAGAAATGTCGAGAGAAGAAGGATTTTCTGGTGCCATTTGTAGTGGCAGTCAGGGGGCTATGTTCGCTCCATTCCCTCTCACTGTGTCAGAATCGACTGGGTGAGATTTTACATAATTTGTTTGTAATAGAAAGCCTGATATAAATATTAAATAGCCTGATACTGGAATGGGTATGAACCCTTTAATGTGCAGGCTAATTATTAAGTATTTAATATTAAAACTTTTTATTCTGTAATTGCTGTAAAATATTTAATAACTGCTATGAAATGGAGGTCTCATCCGTAAGGATCCAGATTTTTCCAGCACTGAAGCAGAGATTTTTTGACAGTGTGTTACAAATACAAGACTTTGAACTGTGGATGGGGTATAAAATGTTGTTTGAGCTGAATTGATTTTACCAGATGAGGTTGTGTGATGCAATGTGTGGGATATAATTGGCAGATTTTTTTCAGGATAAAGATTAAAGGGTCATAGCCTGGATGTACACATTAGCATTACACAACAAAAACATACTCAATAACAACACCAACACACAGCATGGCCATGGATTAGGATTACAGAAGGATATTCACTTCATGACTCATTTTATTATTCCTCGTCCACCAAACTGTCAGACTGTAAAAATTACACTACTGCAGTTTCATACTGGATTAAACTCACCTAATCGCTTAAATTACAGAACCTCCCCAGGTAAAAGTAATCCAGCTCCAATAGGGCTTAATCTGTAAATTCTGTAATTATAAGAATGAGTATTTGAAATGTGGACCAACATACAGAATACAGTTTATGGTTTAAAAACTGAAACACATCGTTCACCAACAGCTACGAGTGTCATCGAAATAGCAGATTTGTTCTTTGGTGACTGCCCCAGCAAAATAACAAAACTGGACCTCAGGTAATATTGATAATATAATGCTGTGAATAGTATTTTGTAATATAGATAGTACAATGTAAACTACGTGGCCAAATTTATGTGGACACCTAAACATCGCATCCATGCCTGCTTGCTGAACATCTCATTCCAAAATCATTGGCATTACTAAGGAGTTGGTTCACTTTGCTGTTATAACAGCCTTCATTCTTCTCGGATCTTGGAACATGGACATTAATTTCCATTCAGTCACGAAAGCATCAGTTAGGTCGGGTATGTGTATGGTACGTTTTTGTGCGCAGCCGAAGATCCAGTTCTTCCCAAGGATGAGGTGTTGGATGAGGTTAAGGTCAGGGCTCTTTGCAGGCCACACCAAACCATTACCCACTTTGTGCACGCGGGAGTTGTCATGCTGAAACAGGAAAGAGCCTTCACCAAACTTTTGCCACAAAGTTGGAATGATGCAGCTCTGTACTATGTCATTATGTCTTCTTGGAGTAAGATTTCCCTTCACTGGAATTAAGAGGACATGCCATGAAAAGCTATGAAAAACAGCTCCAGACTATTATTCCTCCTCCACCAAACTTCAGAGTACTATGCATTTAGGCAAGTATTGTTCTCCCAGATTCGTCTGTCAGTTGAATTACAGTGAAGTGTAATTCATACTTGATTTTATGCATGTCAGCAATGGGTGTTCCTGAAATAGCCAAACATACTAATTAGGGTATCCACATACTTTTGGCCATGTAGTGTAATACAGCGCAGTTTTTTGGTACATTTATGTGTTGTATGTATAATAGTTGTTTTGTTATATTGTTGTGTGCCAAAGCAAGTTGACTTAGTTCGTTTTCCCATTTTCACAGCTCAAACTTTATACTACCTGCTGACCTGCTGGAGTTCGCCCAAAGGATAGAAAAATATCATCCTGCCCAGCGGCTCACACTGGATCTGCGGTTTAATCCCCTCGATCGTGACCCTAAGGCGAAAGGTCAAGCCATGAAAAAGCTCCTCCCCTTCTGTAACATTCTGACTGATGACTGGGACTCTAGGTCCACCATGGCAGACCATGTGAGTGTGATGTGAGGAGAGTAGCTGTGCTAGCAAAGCTAATCTTAAGACACCCCACAAAGCATAACAGCGATACTTTCACGTTCCTTCCTACTGGTTCTTAAAGGAATCCACATTGGCAGGTTAACATGGTGCACTGTAAAACACGTTTGTTATTCTAACTTTAACTTAAGTCAGCTGCTTAAGTAAGTTTGAGTTCATTAAACCCAAGTGAAAATAATTACATGCTATGGTCTTAAGGGGGAATTCAACTGATCAAATTGTGAAATGTTCTAGAGAAACCTGCTGACTTATTTACAGTGATGGTGACAGGAACCAGGGGTTGTGGTATCTACAACGCATATATAGCCATTTTATTTATTCTCCAAAATGACCAGTGAATCTGCATGTGTCTTCTGAGTTTTATGTGTAATGTCAATAATGATAACACAGTGGTAAACCTGAAAAATATATACGTTTTCTTTTGGGACTATTTTGCCTTACAACACCATGCATATACCTCTCCACCTTGAATGTATTTTGAAAGTACATTTTAGGCCAAAACCTTCCAAACTATCAAAGAATAAGCATTAGATAGCCTAACCATTGTATGTCATAACTTTCTGTGAGTAAGCTTTTAGAGGTATTAAACACTTTGAGATGCCTGGTTCCTGTCTGTGATGTCTGGTTCCTGTCAACAATACTGTGAACAAATCTCCATACTCTATACTCCAGAACAGAGTATTTCACATCATGACTGTTTCTAAATGTATTAAATATGAAAAATATGAAAAAATGAGTGGCATTCCCCTTAAAAGTACATTTTGATGCTCAATAAGATCAAAATTTCAAGGCAGCCAGTTTAACTTACTTTAAGTTTAAACACGACAGTGTTCTATAGCGTACCTAGGGGTGGGCAGTATGTCAAAAAATCATATTTGAAGATGTTTGCGATACACTTCAGTATACAGATCTCTTGATGAACATACAAGTACTGCTATGTAACTTCAGCATATTTGAATCATATTTGAAGACGTTTGTGATACGCTTCAGTATACAGAACCCTTGATGAACATACAAGTACTGCTATGTAACATCAGCATCCACAGCCACACTGAAGAGTCTGTGCATCAGTTGCTGGTAATTGTTTCATATTTGAAATAATTCAACTTTGCACTTGACTCATCCAGTCACATTCTTCCTGTACTATAGGTGGTCTACAACAAAATGATAAGAACCATTTCAGGTTTTACGCCATGTTCAAAAGCCAGACTCTATGAGTTTGCAGTTTGTAGTGAAGATCCTGAATGCTGGGTTAACTCTACAGTTAGTCTTTTATAGAAAGATTTGTGTTAACTTTTCTTAATGTCCCTTGTAAATACTCAATATTTGCAATAATGATTGAAAAACTGACTAACATGCCTGTATTATTGTGACACTGCAATAAAACATTTCTACTATTCAGATTGTTTGACTTGTCTTGTTTTTTTTCTATAATTCATAATTCCATAAGCCTTTCCTGAATCCTGTTTGCACGTTTTTCTATGTTAGTTCACATTTTTAATATGTTTACAGATGTTGTTGATTTCAACCTTGTTCTTTCCAGCAGCTCTCCGGAATTTAGGGTTTAGTTCTCTTAAACGTTCTCTATCCTTCTTTAGCTTCTGTTCTCTTTTTGCACTCTAATCACCCACTTAGATTTTATCTCTGTTTTTCATTTTTCACAGGGTTTTCTCTGATTGTTCGTGGACTTCTGAGTTCCATCCTATAATTCTCTGTCAATTATATGCAGCCTTTGAAATCGGTTCTTGATGTTTTCTTTGGAAATGGGTATTATGTTCTCCAGGTCACATTTTGGAAGTCTGATGGTTTGACTTTTTTCACTTGGAGCTTGCACATTAGAAATTTGTGATCTGTTTTATAATCAGATTTAGGCTATGAAGCTCGTCCATCTCCAGGTGCAAAGACTGTAGGCTATTTGGTTTCTTTGAACTCCATCTGGTGATGTCCAGGTGTACAGATGTTGTTTTGGTTGCTTGAGAAATACTAATGAAAAAGTCATTGTGCTCAAGGAAGTTGATTAGTCATTTTCCTGCTTCATTCAAATCAGATTGACTTCAGTCGGTCATTCACAGCATTGTATTCAATAACAGTCTTTTTGACATTCTTGTTAACAAGCCCCTCTATTTTTTTGTTGTTTGTGAGCCGAGGAGTAGATGGTGTGCTCCCCTGATTGAAAGTGTCCTAATCCAGTCCATTTTAGGTTATGTGTAATGATCACTTTCTGTCACTACTTCTAGCTTGCCATGATTCATACATTCCAAGTTTCGACCATCATTTTGAAATCTCTTTTCTTGCTCATCAATTTCAGCAACTAGATGTCCAGAAGGCTTTGATCTAGAGCATCATACAAGCTTTACTCAGAGGAATCCACAGCACTTCCTACATAAGTTGAGTGCCTTCTGACCTGAGGGTCCCATTTTCTAGCATTGTTTCTATTCATGTGGTGTTCTTGGTAAAGTACAGAGGTGATTTACCATCGCCGCCTTCTGTGCAGTTGAACTGATGGCTTTGCTGTTGTCATTTCTGTGATCATCTGCTGTTGACATCTTCCTATATTGCTGCTGCTCAAATATAGCTGTAGGTTTAGTCTGGTACCTCTGCTAAGACCTTTCTGCCATGGTAGTCCCTGACATGAGTTAAAGCTCCAGGCAGCACAGCTTTTCAATGCACAAAAGCCTTCATAACAAGGCACCATACCATGAGATACCATGAGTAGAATGATTGAATTGGGGGGAACATTTTAAAAAATCAGTGATATTTGCATTTGAAACAGAATGACACCCCCATAACAGGATAACAACACTTATCCAAAAACTGCTCTCAAAACAGGAAAGATGCCTTTGCTCAGTAACTGAAATATGTTTTGATGGCAGTCTGCAAAGAGGCAAGAAACTGTTGTCTTTCTTTAGTCAATATGATTTGGTATGTGATATGAACTGACCAACACGAGTAAAATAAATCCTATCTCACTTGTCAATCTAAAATGGATATAAAATCAGGTAATTACAGCCCATCATTTTAGACAGATTTTTATTTTGTAGAATGTGAGAATTTAACATAGTTACACAATAAATAAACAGAATACAAAAAAAATACTTAATGGAAAGAAACTTATCTACAAGCAACTTTGCAAAAAGAAACACAAAGAGTCTCTGATCATGCTGCCCTGTCTTGTGGTTTGAACATCTTTCTGGTTCTAATAAATCACGTTCACACATCTTATTTACAGTGCTGAGTGCAGTGTTTGGTGCTTTTAACCGTTCAGACGACTCCTCTCTGATCATCGTGAGAGCGCTGGTGGAAGACAAAGGAGACACTGGCATCCCAGCTGGCCTGCAGCACAGGGTCCTTCAGCCCGCGTTTGTCCACACAGTGCTGCCAGCAGGACAGATCACTGGTGCAGTCCGAATCCTCAGGAGGGGGGCGAACCTGACGGCCGTTAACACACCGCCGGCAACGAAACCTGAGAAACAAAAAGAACAGCTGATTTCAAAATCTCCTAGTCATGTGTGCGATAAGTGAATTTATCGTCGTTGTAAACAGCCCTTTCACAATAAAATCAAAAAGTGTGAAATTTGTCTTCAAAAAAATGTTTACACAAATTGAATTTCAGGGGATGACGCATTACCAGTGCTATACAATGCTATCCTGATCCCAGAAAGTGCTGGAACATTTCTCCACTGCTGTAGTTTTAAGAGTGGAGAAAAGTTCACTGTGAACTCTTTATTAAACATGGCAGAAAATGGGTGTTGTCATTTCCACGGTATGATAAGCTAGTGAAAAAATATCATGGTTTTGGAGTAACACAAAAATAAGCAGGTGGTGAAAATTAAAGGGAAATGAATTACATTGACATTATCCTTGAACGTTATTTTTAAACGACGTCTTCATCCTTTGAGCAGATCAGTTATATATTTTTATGAGGTGAAGGCTTCAAGTGCAGAATCCCTGTGTATAACAAAAAAACCTTAGATTTAAGATTTAAAGCCTTAACCTGTTTAAATTCTTCCTACAAATAGTAGGCTAAATTAAACAGAGATATCAAGTGGCAGAAATTCTCAACAGGTTACAGTTCTAAACAGCTGGTTACCACGAAAGCCCTTAGGTTAGGCCTAGGTTTCTAATCTCTCTCAAATGTGAAACCGATAATTCCCTTCATGATAGTGCACCTTTCTCCATCTTTATTAGCTCTACTACCTTCTGATACTCATTGCCCTCAAGCACAGGAATAACATTTGTCTAACCTGCATTAACTATTTTAAAAACTCCCAGTCTGAACATGTTTTCATTCTAGAGCATGTGGCAAAACCCAACATACATATTTTGTGTCACAGATCAGCTCTTATCCTTTGTCCAGATGAGATCTGAACAGCCAGGTAGCAACTGATGAGAGTGTGACGTTGTTCACTAGTGTGAGTTTGTGTACCTGTCGTGTGTGTCGCTGAGCGTGTCCTCATTGAGAGCAAACAGCTCTTTCAGCTCCCCCAGAGAGAAGTGCCTCTCTACATCCTGCTCCTCATCCACCACACAGCTGCTCAGGGCCTTCTTATGTGCCTGCCTCTGCAGGATCTTCTCCTCAATGGTGCCTGTCTGTAAACACAAACACACAGAAAATAGTGTTTCAAATGAAGCCTGCTTCTTTATTTACCCTCTTCATATTGCATACTTCCATTTGAGCCATACAGTCATGCAAAAGTTTGGAAACCTCTGGTCAAATTACATTTTGTTGCTTCTGTACATGTTAATAGGTTTAACACATCCTCTGCAGAGAACAGTACTTTTACACATTACTGTGCGTCACATGGTACCACTTGCAGCTAAGTGGCTTCTGGGTCGAACGCTTGAGCTACACTACCGGGCCGGACATTCTTCCAGTCTACAAGACTTCCCGCAGTGGGTTTGATGGTATATCATAGTTGTGAGGCCCCCGGGCAAAGAAGGCCTTTCTCCCAAGACCTGAGACACTTCCAGGCCAGCTAAGTAACCCTATACCATGGTCCGGTGAGTTTTTTGGTTGGTTTGTTTGTTAAAGTTTCATCACCAACAGAATAGTGGTGATTACTAGAATGCTTTTTTTCACTCTCCTGTAAAGTTAATGTTTTGGAGATACAAGTATCTCCATTGCGACACGACAAAGTTTTATGAAACAAGACTTCTAGGTTTCTAACGCACTGTTTTTATTTCTACAGCGCTAAAATAAAAAAAGCATTACAGAGCACTTTTGTCGACTACATGTCATTCCAAAAGTGGCAGCTGTTAACAGCAGCTGGTAATCCCTCTCACCGAAAGCAGTCTGTAGATGTAGCATGTCTTTCTCTGGCCATCCCGCCACACTCGCGCCATCGCCTGCTCGTCATTGGCTGGATTCCAGTCCGGGTCAAACATCACCAGCCGATTTGCTCCAATTAAATTTAGGCCACACCCACCAGCTTTGCTGCTTAACATGAAATAAACTCTGGATTCTAAGAGGGAATTGGAGGGAAAAAGTGAGTATTGCTTCTGAAAAGCAGAGTAAGTATTTGATTTGATTTGGGGGAATACTTACGGAGGGACTATTAAATCGCTCAACAATCTTTGCTCTCTTTTTGATGGACATTGTTCCATCCAGTCTCACGTACAGATACCTAATTAAAGGAAAAGGTAGCAGTCAATCAGTTTGTCAGTTTCTTATTACAAATTTAAACAAAAAATCTCATTAATGACTGATGATGATAGTGTTGTTTGATGATAGTGTTGTTTTGATTTTGGTTTTCCCAATATACAAATGTCAATTGTACAGTCCATTAATGTTGCTGTCATAACTTTATTACTCCTCAAGGGACATGTAAACTTTCCATCTTTCCATCATCCTGCATCCTGTACTGATGTATGCAATGTCATGCAAAAAGAAACTCTGTAGATAAATACAAACAGTTCAAAGAGATAAAATAACCTCTAATCCTTACAGTATAAATGCCACATGTCGGTCTCAGGATGAAACCGATTCCTATAAAAGTTCAGATCAATTATTTATTTTAATAATAATATAAATAATTTAATAATAATAATGATAATAAATAATTTAAAATTTGAATGCTTCGCTCTGCAATAATGTTTATATGTAAAATACCTTTCGAACATTGAGAATCACTTTGTCTTAATAATTTGTTATTTTATATGCAGTAATACCTTATTAAAATGTATTATTGCGTATAAAAGCTACATAAAAGGTATTTTTAGATTATTTTAAAATATTTAAATCATCCTGGGAGCAACTAAGTTATTAAATGTTAAATAATGTACTGCACTTATCTATTTACAATAATTTTTTGTTTTATTCTTATGTTATTCTGGATATTAACTTAATTATAACTTCATTCCTGTTACTA